AAATTTCTGGACAACCCTATTCTAAGAATTTCAGTTGAGTGTGTCAATGTGGCCAGCTCAGGGTAATATGATATCATATACAACAGTAAACATCACTCTCTTCTGTTTATATCTTCAAAGCAAAGAAAACACGCTTTCATAACAGTACAGCTAGAAACCGCTCGCCAGAACCACAGGAAATTTGCTGCAAGACAGGCATATGTAACGATGACTTGGCACAGATAAAGTCGTGTCTTATTTATACTCTGTTCTACTGACAACAGGCCAGCGAAAAATCTAACAATCTACAGCAAAACCATCAATTATTATGGGCGTTATAACATAGCTGTGCAGCTGAACGAAACATACACGTCGAACCCCCCCAGACGATTTAAATCCCTGACGAAACATACACGACGAACCACGGCAACGGGTTAACAATGCATGGAGCTGAATGTCCACTCCCCCATATACGTTAACGGTGTGGTGCTTAATTAAGAGCAAGGTCAACTCTAGCTATACTTTTACCTGACATTTGCTTAGGAAATTCTCATCATAATGTGCGGTGTTCAATTTTTATTTGGTTATTTTGTGTCATCCCAAATGCTGAAACCTATGCCACACAGGATAATTATCAATTGAAATGTATATAATTTAATTGTACAAGATTAAAAGTTGCTTTTGTGGCAGTAACTTAGGTATACGTAAACATCACTTCTGAAACAGGTGACACATTTGGATACTTATAAATTCTATGAGAAACTGTGATATCTGAGGCTCTCCCTGAGCTGGGTATGAAAATATTTGGGAGATGACGGCACAAAGTTTAAAAAATAGGAACCAACATTTTGGCAGAAGCTGCTGTCTCTATCTACAGCGTAGAAGAGCAAGGAAGCCAATAACAGAGGCCCTAAAAACAGCTCATCAATAGGAAAGAACAGGCAATGATGGAGACAAACAGGAGGTGAGATTTTTGAAGGGGAAAATTCAGGTGGAAAATGGGGGAAGACTGAGTTACAGGAATATAAAGTGCTCCCACATCAACCTACATGAACTTGCAAGAGGGCAATGTCAAATGCATGTGCACTGGTCTATAGCCAGTTATAAAGCTCAGGGATATGAAACACGGATGCAAGCACAGTTCTTGCCCACAGATGACGCCTCCACTAGCTCCCTTGCCGGCCCAGCTACTCACTCCCCTTCTCTTCCCTATGGCATGTACCACCTTTACTCATGTTAACTTACTCTTTTGCACTGAAGATAAAGGCAGAAGGTTCAACAGTATTAAATCCTTGAATACTAAGTTTTCTGGATGACTAAACAAACAGCACCAGCAATGACACGCTGTCATACTCACCCCCATTTACGAATATGCCTTGTAATGTCTTCTACTTTTCTCTTTGTCTCTACAAAGATTATGGTTTTGCCCTCGCGTTCTGAGCTTATCTCTTGTAGCAATTCCGTCAGTCTACAAAGAGAAAATACAATTTATAAAAATTCCTAAAAATGTTCATTTTGATGGATAATCGTTAATACCCGAAAATGGCTGAAATACGTAACTACAAGTCCCTCCCCTTACATATACTACAATATGGCAATAAGGGTGAAATAATAATGGTATGACACCATTTCTTCTTTGAAACTACCACCACGGTGATATGAAAACAACAGATAACACTTCAGCACTATCATTAGATAAGATCTAAAAGTTTGTGACGATGGTAAATTGTTACAATTAATATGTTGTTGGACATTATCCATCATCTTGTCTGTTCTTAAAAAACCATCCTGTTTCTTTAAAAAAGTTTCAGGGACCGGATTCTGTCCCCATCTTCAGGTAAAACCTATTCAGTTGGGTCCAATAGGCAGAGCTAGCCTGAGATAGGGGCTAGCTCTGAAGAAGGGGACTGAATCCAGTCCCCGAAACGATTTTTTTAAAAAGAAACAGAACGGTTTTTTAAGAACAGACAAGATGATGGACAATGTCCAACATATTAATTGTAACAATTTAGGCTCAACCTTTCACACTCATGACTACTGATCTGGACCCCACCTTTTACAAGCAACAGTCCTGCAAACTTACAAGCACACATCACTCATTACACTTGCAGTTCACTGTGCAATCACACGTCACACCCACATTCCAACCATCAAGTTTTTTGTTGCATGAAGATTCTGCTTCAGTGCCCATAAACCAATGATGTGTTGATTCCCCTCAGTTTAGCATTTAAATGTTCTGATACCCAGTAACACCTGAAACAGAGTTACATATGCTGACAAATGATGTCCAGAAATCAATATATACTCACTTGCCAGTCTTCTCATGTTCCTGACACACATCTACAATCTGTAGAATGTTATGGTTGGCTGCAGGCTGCAGGGACCCAATGTTAATTTGAAGGTAGTCTGTTAGGAATTCCTCAGCTAAATTACGCACTTCCTTCGGCCATGTAGCTGACCACATTAAAGTCTGTCGGTCAGGCTGCAAAATAAACCAGTTTTAATATACCCATCTATGTTTTTCCCCTGGCAGGGGAAGCACAACAGACCACTGTAGGTTGCGGGGCAAGGGCCGACAAGGTCCACCCCTTATACATTCATTCATTCATTCATTCCCCTGACAGTTCATTAAGATTCCAGAAAAACTGTGTTCTCCCTCCAGCTCACACAAATTATTCAATTTCTAATGACAATGGTAGGCAGTGCAGCAGATAATTTAAATTCTGATATAACAGGGAACATTCTGCAGAATTTCTCGACTATTCCAAACTGTATTGCTAAGACGAATACCATGTTCTTACCCGTATCTGTTCAAGAATTTTGCGGATCTGTGGTTCAAAACCCATGTCAAGCATCCTGTCAGCTTCATCCAGCACCAAATACGTGCATCGCCGAAGGTTGGTAATTCCTCGCTCCAAGAAATCTATTAGTCGCCCAGGGGTAGCGATAACAATTTCAACGCCACGCTCCAAATCGCGTGCCTGAAACAATTATGCAACACAATGGGGCTACAGGAATCTAGATATCACATAAACAAGAGACAACTGACTTAATATTACAGACAGTTTTCACCATAAAATTTTCAACTAGAACAGACCAACACAAAAGAAATGGCGTGTGATACACTTATCTATGGGAGACCTGGAATGCAGCAGTAGGAACAAGACTTACACATAACTCCGAGGACATTCTAATCTCTGTAAGCTGTTCCCCATATTATTTTCATGTTCATACATGGGACGCTAAACCCTCATGAGGCCTCAGCCAGAAAATGCTCCTGACTTTCAAAAGTTATTTTGTGTGTAACAGAAATGTTGCAAACAGGAATTACCTTCTCAGTGTCTGGCACATTCTGCATTCTTTACCTGAGTGTTCACTCCAGCCCCCCCGAATTACTTACTCAATGCTTTATAAATAATAAATTTAAAATGTTAATGGCTGGTTATGATCTGGAAGTTGCGTTATGGGCCAGCACCCGTAGGTGGGGTGCCCATGTGCACACACATCAGCTTTTGTTCTATCCTGTCCCCAGCTCGTTAATCGCGTGCATCCCATCTAGCGGTTAACTTCTGAGATATAACATGGCGTTGCAATTCTCAAACACTAATGATTTAATATCAGTTAATTTTATTGCCAGCTACCAGTTACTGATGGAGTTTCTGGCCAATCTGGTAGCTTCACCTGCTAACCACTTACTCTCTGCTGTATCCAGTAAACCAACACTGCCTCTACCGTGTTTAATGTACTAAAGGAGCATGAAATGTAATTACAGCACATACTGTGACATCAGTAAGGGGGCACTATGCTACAAGCCAGAATGTCACTAGCTTCTATCAACTGACCTAATCCTTCCAGCCACACCACGGACCTCGGGTCGACTCAGCCTCTAACAGAAACGAGTACCAGGAATATTCTTGGGGGTAAAGGGCAGCCGGTGTGTAAGGCTGACAACCTTGCTGCCATCTACAGGGTTATTCATAAGTCTGTGAAACGTTTTAAAAATTCACAACTATGCATCGGATCATGGTAATTCTTACACCAAGAGAGGATGAACATCTCCAGGTTTTATCTAAAAGCCCATGTGTGTATGGATCTTCACAACCATATCACTGCTGCTGGGGCTCTGGCGAACCATGATATGCTGACACGGGAGTGGGACGAAATGGATTATNTCTATTTTAATGTAATAAAATTTGGTATCCACTGTGTAGTTAGAAAGAAAGAAAGAAAACTTGGTGAGTTTGTCTCTATTTTAATGTAATAAAATTTGGTATCCACTGTGTAGTTAGAAAGAAAGAAAGAAAACTTGGTGAGTTTGTCTCTATTTTAATGTAATAAAATTTGGTATCCACTGTGTAGTTTATTTGTTGTAAATATTCAAAATGTTTCATGGACTTATGAAAAACCCCGTATGAGCTGATTGCCTAGGAAGTGTGGGAACCTCAACATCTCACAACCCTATGGGCCTCCACAGCCTGTTACAGGTATACCTTTACTTAGTGTGATATCAGTAGGGATATGTAGGGTTAAAGGGTCTTACCTGGGGTCCTTTGGGAGCCCCGCCAAATATACAAGTATTGCGAACATATGTAGAGGAACCAAAATCCTGGGCAACACTCTGAATCTGCTGGGCCAGCTCTCGTGTCGGTGCAAGAATGAGTGCAATGGGGCCTTCACCACGAGTCAGTCTTTCCTGGTTGTTGATGTGAACTGTTGCAGGCAGAATATACTGCAAATACAACCACATCAAAATAAATACAGATAAAAAGGAACTGCCAAACTTTCTTTCCTTTAACAATGTTCTATTAGCTGCACACACTGTATTTCATTGTGAGAAGCAGGTAAAGGGGCTTCAATGCAATTACATTCTACATGAAGACACCAACTCCAGTGAAAATCATGAAAACGACGACATTCTCTAAAAAGTCATTTTACTTTGTTATACATCATGATTACATATGAGATGTTCTTACATCACTAAACCATGGAGGGCAGGATCCTCTCCCACACACACTGTGCCACCCATACCCAGAAACTGCACATTTATTCAAGAAACACACCCTTCTTTATAACGGTGGTTTATTTAACAAATGGGGAACAAGAGGGTAAGGCCCTGAAGTTCGAGAAGTGTACTTACTGCTAGTGTCTTCCCAGAACCAGTCTGTGCAATTCCTACCATGTCACGTCCACTCATAGCAATAGGCCAACCTTGCGCTTGGATTGAAGTTGGTTCATTAAATCCACACTTCCTGAAATTTTAAATGGCTGTGTAGTATAAAAAAATTGTATAAAACTTACTCTACAGAGAAAAACGTTTTAGTCTTTGGATGGGGGAAACCAAAGCACTCGTAGAAGACAACCGCAGGTAAAAATGTGAATGAATGTATAAGGGGTGGGCCTTCACAGCCCTTGCACTGCGACCTACAGTGGTCTATTGTGCTTTAGGTGCAAATGTGTGTGTGCATCAAATCTCATGTGAAACGACAAGATTAAAACTTGGGCCACTGGATGATTGCAACAGCACGGGCTTAAGATACACTTTTACATTCTCTATGCAACTTATGGTCATGAGGGGTAAAGTTGTCCTTGTGCCTAACTAAGCACTACACCAAGAAGGCATATGGGAGAGTGGATGTATAGATCCACATTTTCTTGACCTTGGCACTAGCTGGAGGTGAGTGGTCAGCTTCACGCCCCGGCCGCTTTACCACACGGGAAGGATGCTCTAGTACCCATTGGATAGGAAGTTGTGTGGACCACAGAATCGGTCTAAAACACATGGAGAAGAGGATTTTCTTGACCCTATCAGGACTCAAACCCTGGCCCCTCTGTTGTCCAGCCCACAGCCAGTCACTATTCCAACCAAGCTATCCCAGCTCCTACATTATAGGGAGAGGACATTAACTGTTTAAAGTACACTACTCACTATAAGTACCACCAGCTTTAACATACAACAATTCTCCATTCTGCTAACTGTATGTATGGGTTTCACTTACATTTTCTGAATAAACTGTGATTATTTCCATAAGCAGAATTAACCCACTGACCTTTACAATGAAACTCGTGCGTTTTCTGCGAGGCTGAAGCTGTGTATTTTATTTTAAGTCCTCATAGTTACTAGCTCTACATATGCATGTTTGATCTTACCTTATTTCCCTCATTACATAGTCAGGGAAGTTGCTTTCTTCAAAGAACTCGATAGGATTGGGCATGTTGTTTCCCTTGACAGTAATCTGGTTTCTGACACGGTAACCTTCTACCTCATTATGAGTCCTGGAAACACAAGGACAAATTCATGTTTGTGGGTTCAATAACGCCATGTTGACAGCAGTTGTATCTCCTTATGGTGCTTTTTCTGGGGCTGTTTTATCAGTGTCAGTAACCACAATATACAGCACTACATGTTACAATCTCATTCACACTTCACTGTTTACTGACTGACGTAGCTGAGCCCTTCTTGAGAAGCCAATTCTGCAGCTACTCAAGAATTTCCCAGCAATTTATGGAAGCAAAGTTTCATTAATGTGTTAACAAGAGCCCTCCTCTGGTTCCTATCTTGAGCCAGATCAATCCAATCCATATCATCCTCTCTAAGATCTATTTTACGTAATACTGTATGGAGGAACAGAAGACTTGGAGAATGGCTGCATCACTGGTCACTTGCAATGATACCACGAGGAAGAGTATGCTATTCTGTCCCATACTGTGATTGGGGACGAAACTTGGTGCCACCATTTTGAACCCGAGAGCAAACAGCAGAGCCAACTGTAGAAACACGTGAATTCTCACCCAGCAAAGAAATCACACACACAAGTTCTGGTGAACTGACAACCTTCTTCAACTACAAGGGCCCTCTGCTTGTTGAATTTCTCGAGCATGGGGCCACAATCAGTGCACAGCACTATGAAGACACTTTGCAGAAACTGAGACATGCCATAAAGTCAAAACGCCCTGGAATGCTATCAAACATCATCCTTCATGATAATGTGCGCACCCACACTGCCAACTCTGTGAGGAATATACCACAGAGATTTGGTTGGGAAGTGCTTCAACATCCCCCCTTCAGCCCAGATCTCTCCCCATGTGATTTTCACATTTTTGGAGACCTCAAAAGAGATATTTGTGTACATCGGTTTGCATCGGACGAAAACGTGTGGCTGGGTAAAGATGTGGTTCCATAGACAGCCCACAAGCTTTTTCAAGGATGGGATTAACTGTTGTATCTTCCAGTGGGAAAAATGTATTAATAGTTTTGGAGATTACTTTGAGGTAAGAAATGTTCTTTAACCCTTTCGCGCGGTCATTTAAATTCCACTGCTGTCTCTCTGGCGGTAATATATTCAGCCAGCCATTTAAATTTTGCTCGAAAATGATTTATTCATCATTGTTCTTAAATTATATGAGATAGGAACATGAAACTTTCACTAAAATGATCTTAAAACGTGGTTTTATAACCTTACCTCATGAGCGCCAAGTATCTCGGCAATGGAAGCAGGTTGTTTAGATTCTGAGCAGTGAATGGTACGCCTTGAAGCATGAAACTTTCACTAAAATGATCTTAAAAGATGGTTTTTATAACCTTACCTTATAATATGAGCGCCCGGTATCTCGGCAATGGAAGCAGGTGTTTAGAATTTGAGCAGTGTAAGGTAAGCCTTGAAGCATTCTTCTAACACAACGCTACCCCACATTCACCACACCAATACTGCGTATCTCTCATTTGGCTCTTTTTTCCGTAAACCAAACATCTTCTGTGCGGCCTTACCTTCTTCCCCGTGGGGGGAATACAAGAGGAAATGTCTCTCCGTGAGTCGTATAGCTGCCAGATTAGCTGCAGTAAATTCAATGTTACGAGTTATCATAACAAGGGGTCGTTGCTATGCCTTTGATATTCCATTCATTTTGGCGGGAGCAGATGTCGTAGGGGTGACCACAGAATTCATGAAGTTATTCTAANGAATAAAATTTGGACATCCCTCTTCTAAGAATTCCAATTGAGTGTGTTAGTGTGGCCAGCTCAGGGCAATATGATATTATAAACACAGCACATATCAGGTCTCTGCTGTTTATAACTTCATAGGAAAGAAAACACACCATTCATAACAGTTTGAATGAGGAAACCTCTCCCAAGAGCAACAGGAATTTTGCTGCAAGACAGGCATATGTAACGATCACTTAGCGCAGCTAAACTCGTGTCTCATTATATATAGTCCTTGTGACAAGAGGCCAGCGAAAAATCTAACAATCTACAGCAAAACCATCAATTATTATGGGCTTATAACATAGGTGTGCAGCTGGACGAAACATAGACGTCGAACCCCCGCAGACGATTTAAATACCTGACGAAACATACACGTCAAATCACGCTGAACGGTTAATAAGTTTTGGCTTCTGACTCATTTTTATATATATATATATATATATTGTCACGTGTTGGGTGTATAACGCCGTATTTGATATAGCGAATTTTATTTCACATTCGCACTTACAAACACCCAAATTACAGATTCACAATTACTGCTATCTGCAGTATCACAAATACTACTCCAAATGCCAGAATACAACTGATTGGTTGCTGGCTAACTTGGAGGTAGCTCAAGAACTAACTGTGAATAGCCTTCGCTGCTCCTTATGTAGCCTCGTTCGGACAATACAGAAAATGGCCACGTAATAGGCACCACTGTTGTCTGGTGCTGTCGTGCTAGCAACGCTGTGTACCACTGTTTACCCGCGCTGCCTAGCAACCGCTGTACCCCTTGGTGACGTCACCGCTGTTGACTCGCGTTGCATAGCGACCAGGATGCTGGGACTCGGCTAACTTCGGCTCCGCTCGGCGTGTCAGCTCGAGGGGAGGGGTCCAGCTAGCGCGACATGTCACAATCCGAGTGACCGTGTTACACGGTACGGGTACGCGCAGTCCACATGTGCGAATGTTTTAAAATCTAATTTTAAGATAGAAATTCTTGTTCTACTCACATTATTTTTGGGCACCCGCTTTATAAGTAGACTGTCTTCCCTCCTGCATCATCTAACTGAATGCAGAGTCCGATGTCGCAATTCATGCACGTTGTCCGGATGTAACTCTATTTCCCACGCGAAGAGCTCACATGACACCTAAGCCTCGTATTAGAGGAAGTCAGCCAGTGATGTTGAGTGGCCTCCTCTAATTGTAACGCTTTTAAAACATCGCAGTTTCAACTATCCACCATGGTCTCATTTCGCATGGAAGAAGCCGAAATTGAGAGGCAGCTGATAAATGACATGGATTCAGACGGCGGTACAGACTGTGAAAGTGGTGAGGAAGCAAGGGGCTAGGCTTGAACGTTCTAGCAACATGCGGCTATTCCAAGAACAGTACCTCTGTCTGGCTAGTCCGAGATATACAGAGTCAGAGTTTCTCAAGGACAAAGTACGATTAGACTTCAACCACACTCGTGCATACAGAAAGGTTCCAATGTCACTGGAGAATGTGCAATATAAACAAACTTCCACCCCTTTTGCCAGATAATACACAGTAAGACAGGATGTCAGCAGCATGCTTTTATACTGCAGAAACTGTATGCATACGAGCATTTGTGGACAGACACTTGAAATTGGGGAAAATTTTTTTTTGGAATCAGGGTAACAATTTTTACAGATTTTAAAATCTGTAAATTACAATACCTGATTCTATATTCTTTCTAGATAAAAGCAGCATCTATTTCGTTCATTTATCACAAAAATTGTAGAAATCACAGCATTTTCAGCAACATGCTTAAAATTTTTAATATTTTACAATGGCGGGCATTTAAATTAACTCCGGCCTGCTGCATTACCGGAATTTAAATGGCCTGTCTCTTAAAGGTTATATCCGTATAATAAAAATTAAATTGAGTCATAAAATGTATTGCATTATGGTGTATTAAAACATTCGAACAATTAAAACTGTTGTTTGTTATATTTATGATACTTATGACCAAATATTGTTATATATACTACTTATGTTGGTGTCTTAGCTTAATTACAGTGTTATAATATGTAGTTTGTCTTCAGATGTTAATGTTTGATCGTGGGCGGGCGTTTTATTTCTACTCCCATTTGATTTTCTTATGGAGCAGCTGGACTGTTTGGAATCAGTTGTTACCAAGTTTAAAAACGTTTTATCCTGTTTTCCCATGATCTGGTTTTCTGTATTTGTATGGGTTTATCCACCTCTCACATTTCTGCATCTGACTTCGTTGTGTGTATTAACGGAGCGGAAAGACAGGTATATTAATAGCAGTCATTATACTGTAGCATACAAATTCATATAAAGCGCAAGTCAGTAGTTTGAAAATGTTTGTTAATGTGTACTGCCTGATGGATTTATAAGCCGAAACATGTAGCACACTGTCGTACTGCTAAGACCAATGAACTCATTAGAGACAGTGAAATGTGACTGAGATTCTGATAGTTGTGTTGAGATGGAAACAAAACAATGAAGTTACATATAGGAATAAATGTAAGATGACTGTTAAATTATGAATTGAAAGGATGTGACATATGTGGTCACAGCCTATTTTAAGGGAGAATCCAGTCACTTGTCTGGAATGACTGGGGAAAATTATGATAAACATCAATCAACATATCCTGTCCCAGTTGAGAATTTAACCACATATGTCCTCAATAAGAACTGCTGTAACATAATCTAACTTGCTTCATATCCTATCGCAGAACAGTCTACGTGTACAGACACGTTCACACATCCAAATCATTTATTATACTTCATACAGACATCCTCTATGAGAGAGAGATCTACATGCATGCCTCCCCCACAGAGAGCTAAAAAAAAAAAAAACAAAATTGGCAAACCTGTTCGACACATTTAGGTGCGGAACATAGAAGTTCTTGCTGAATGGCCGGAGGCTGTGCATCTCCCACTCAGGCTTTACTAGCCCTCCACCTGGCTGCTTGCCCTTCAAATTGCTTCCAGCACCAGGGCCACTTCCCCTGCGATCTGCACCGCCAGTGAAACCGTTTCCTCCTCTGCGATCTCCTCCTCCAAAACCAGTCCTACCATTGTTGCCTCCAAACCCATTCCTTCCTTGATTCCCTCCAAAACCCACTTTTCCATTGTTGCCTCCAAAGCCATTCCTTCCATTGTTGCTGCCAAATCTGTTATTTCCACGGAATGCCCTAAAATAACGATGAGGAGTCAGATCCTGCATATGATGCATCAGACAGATACAGACACCAGTAAATACTTGTACAAGGGTTAAAAGAGCTTCCCAATGGGGTGGGGGCATTTTTGGGTTTTGAGGATTGGACTTCAACATGGGCTTATACAACACAGCGACAAGGTTTGCCAAACTGGCTTATTCACTTTCATCATCCCTTCATATTTCCGAACTTCCCCCATGATTAACTGTTCCAACTCAGTATATCCTGAGGACTCCTCAAGGCTGTAAGCTGTCTGCTATATCCTTATGCTTTTTTCTGGGTTGTAACAGCTCTTGAATATAGTTCTTGCACTCTTCAGAAGATGGCATCACCATCATATGAGATTAATTACAGTTTTACAAACTCAAGAATGACATCATACATTAAGAAACACACGAGAACAGAAAATTTAATCCACCAGTGAGTTTGAATTTACGAGTATTTATGTTCCGTAAATCCAAGTACTGGTTAACAGCACAGGATACGGAACAATCATAAATACAGAAACAATTAATTAGATATGAGGAACTCCCACAGTTCAGAGAGATGAAAGGAGTTAAGAATGGACACTAACTGGACGACCTTGAAATGAAAGAAAGGTTTATATTACTACAGCACTTAAGGAAACAGGAAGCAAAAGTGTACACTGTATTTATCTGCTTGTGGAAGAATCCGGCGCCAGGCTCTTACAAATATGGTTTGTTCCCTAAAAGTGAATTTTTTGAGCAGATGGGCAATTATCAGCCTTTCAATAAGGCTTCTGCTCCGTGGAGTTCTAAGAAGTTAACATAGAGAAAACAGACAAGGTCTCCGTACAGGCTGTACAGTATTACACTTGGATTTCCTTTCTGAATCCATATCTACAGAAAACATCAAAAGCAGACAGAACAAATCCACAATTTGGTTGCTAGTTCTAATGCACCATTCGAACTTTTTAAGATAACACAAACCAGCATAAGAATGTCAAAATCGCCCAATTTCTCATAACAAAAAAAAAAAATGCCCAAAATTATGACATAGCGCCACCATTAACTCTAAACAGTGTTACGCATAAGAAGTTTCATTTTTCCTCCCTGATCTTTCTCCGAAACATTTTTTTCGCTCAAGTTACATTGGAGATGTGCGCTTCGCTTCAAGTAGCCTCAAGTATGACATTTTAACAGACTGAATACACAGGCAAATATTGATTAAACTATACAATTTCGTGAGAATGTCTTCGGTGGTTCCCGAAATACGTTTTGGTTATTAAACTATACAATTTCGTGAAAATGTATTTGGTGGCTCAAATATACGTCACAGAACACGGGCAGCTATGGTGACGCGAAATGCTCTTTGCGACCTCAGTCACAAAACTGCATGTAAATATACTCAGTACATAACTGCAGCCTTTAATTCACTTCATATTTCTATGCAACTGCGTGTTCTACATTGATTACAATGCCTAAACTACCAACACTGCTATGGATATTTTAACTAGCTTGAGTGTCTTGTTCAATCAAAAATCAATGACCTTATCCGATGGCGTCAAACATGTCGGCCATTAAGGAAAAAATGACATTTCTTCAACTCTTGTATACTTAAATGTTCAAATTAAATTATATTACTTATTACAGGTTCACAATAATCAAATTTTACTCACATTATTTATATTAATTCTTCCTAAATTGGAAAACTTCGGAATCTCGAGGTTCACCTGAGCCTATCTGCCTGAAACAATAGTCCAAAATGATTCACTATAATTAAGCTGCATATATTTTACAACTAACTATAAATTACTGTACCACTTAGAAGCTATGAGTAAATTATGTCAAATTCTAACTGCTATTTAAAAAAACAGTTGACAATAATGTAACATCCTACGACCCTCTATACTTGACATCCTACCTCCACGAAGACACACGACAAAGAGGCCTATCTCTGCACTCGCTCCACGGATCAAAAGGCCGGAGTGGGGATAACGGTGAAAATCGATAACTGCAAAATTCCCAGGGAAGATGGACGTCGTGCTGACGTCAGTTTACGTCATGACAAAAAAAAAGATACATGGAATTTTCCAGATACTTTTATCTTGTAATTGGCACTATCGCATATTCATTGTAATATTTAATTTCATCAACCCCATATGTACACACTCCAATTAATGTTAATATGTTACATAACGATAGGAAACTAGCGTTTTGAAAATGTGGTACAGTTCAGTTATTTGGGAACGGCTATACCCGATCAAAACCTGATTCAACTAGCAACTAGCAACCGCAACGCAACCGCATTTTCCGAGAATTGTTATCAGCTTGATTTGTACACATGTTACTGAACATAGCAGCGCAAATTGACGAAACTGCGTTACATTTCAGCAACATGTGTTCAACTCAGGCTAACAACAGTTCTCGGAAATTGCGGTTGCGTTGCGGTTGTCAGTTTCCTTGGTGTGCCTCCCAACCTCATTGTTTCGTTGGCCAACGGTCCGAGTCGGGCAGCGTTCTTAAAAAAAATGTGCACTGAACTAATCATAACAAAACCGTTCTAAAGATAATTCTGGAATTGTCTAGTTATTTCATATAACACTGTTCTTTGAGAACGGTTTTATTTAGACGGGTCAGTGGTTCTTATAGTTATCTCTTGATTTTCATATGGTTTTGTATGGTACACAGCAAAGATGTAAATGAATATTTCTGTCATATTAAAATAGTCGAGTTTTTAGATTTGTTGCAACAGTCGATCTTTTCGATAGTTGTCAATTAATTGTATCCATCACTACATTAATAGTTATTACAGTTATTTCATTTTCGTGGTGATTCAGAGTGGCACGTAAATGCAAATTAATGCAACTTACCGGAACAAGCAGTCTTTAATGTGATGATAATGGAGGAAATTCGGTGTGATTTCGACATCTGAATTGTTATGATCCTATGTTTGAATATGCATGATATGTAGTTCTCTCTGGGTACAAAGCGCACCGAATTGCGGGAACACAGTGTACAGTTTAATTGTTGCAGAAATATATTTCGTAATAGTTTTTGTTTATTCCTTCTAACCAATATTTCTAATATTGTTGTAGGCGTAATTTAAAATACCCTAGTATTTTATAATGTAATAAAATCATTTCATATTTCCATTATTTGCTTTAAAAATTCAAAATAATGCATGAAGCAGAGGATTGTGTCTGCAGTAGGAGAGATGGATAAAGACCCTGATATATATCCAGTTTCTTCATAACAAAAACAGATTGATGCAGTAGGTAACGTTTTTGAATTGTATTGAGGAGCTGCTCGCTTCAAATTTCTGCCAGCTCTATTTAGTGTGGTTTGTCTGTGGGTTTTCTCTGTCCTACCAGGCAAATGGCATGTTAGTACCAGAAATTAGTCCATGATCACTCCACATTCTTTCTGATTTGTTATTCAGTATCCACATTACCATTCAGAACTTTACACACTGAGCCACTGACAGCATCGTGAAGTAAAACATAAATACATAAATAAATAGCATACAAAGAAGTATGTTGTGGAGTTCTGTCATCCTCTTGGATATTAGAAAATTTAATTTTGTGCAGGCTTCATGAAAGCACATATATTGTTAATAGGCTTAGGAAAAATGAACGAAAGTTCTGATCATAAATTTGAAGAATATAACTTCAATACAGTAAATGAGAATATTATCAGAATCCTTTAATGCATGAAATATTTCCTCAAAATTATACTTCACCATTCTGTTTATACCTCACAGAAAAATATTTTGTCTCCATTGCAAAAACCAGTAGGTTAATACTGTTTATTGAAGTAATAGCTGTTTATTATAAGAAGCATGCAGAATATGTATATGCACACAGAGGTTAAAATCCAGAGTATTTTAATGTTAAATAAGGTTGTGTATTGACCAGGTTATGTTCTGGATGGACAAAGAATCAGTGTTTCATTCTAGCAGTCAGGGCTTAAAGCAAATTACTCATCGCTGTCTAGTGCTGAGGTTAACACATTGTGGACCGGTTCTTTAAATATTTAAATCACCCTGGGGACCGGGGTTTTTAAGCCTAGCACCCTAACTTGTGCACTGTTCACGTTAAAAATTAATATAAAATCTCCTAATTAATTTTATGAACTAAAATATTTGGAGAACACTTACCAGAGCTCCTAGAAGTGCTTGCGCGTGTGATATCTCTGGAAACATTCCCCTTTGTGAAGAGAGCTCTCACTTTCACTGGACAGAATATTTTGGGGGGCCCTGTGGGCCCTGTCACTGACACTTTCACTGAGGCTGGCCTCGCTATCAGAAGACGAAGCAGTTGGAAAATCTGATAGCTCATCAGAGAACAAATCTAATATTTCTTGTTCTCTGAGAGAACGCTTCACCTGCAACTGCTTTCGTCTCTGATCCATGTTGCACTGCTAACTTCCTAGTTCATATGTGGAAGCTTGGATTTGAAGAAAGGCTTTTTTTTTAGGGTGTGACAGGAAATGAGCGTGATCATGTTACTGGCTAAGCTAGCAAACATTCTCGAGGTCAACTGCGCAGTAGTTATGATGCAACATGGCCACACAGCGAGATATAGTCGGTTGCAACATAATGCGTCAGAAAAGGGCCAGTTGGCCCGCCCGGTCCGCAACGCTATAGAAACGTAGAGGGCCAATTGGCCCCTCCGGTCCTGAATGTGTTAAGATTGTGTGAAGCTGTAGCACAAGGTACACATAGTTACCGCAGTGCTTTAAAAGGCTGAATTTCAATATCAGTTACAATTATGGGCTATCAAATTATATTTTCAGTCTTCCAGTTTATTGAACGGTCTGATGATGCGAGCTAATTCTGCAAGGTTATACTGTAAGACTTTCCAGAAGCATCATGAGCATGATAGGATGCCATATAACATTGATGGAGCATTGCCTAAAATTTCCTTTGGTTCCTTGCTACATCATGTTAGGCCTACATACATAAAACCAAATACGAAAAGCAGCAGTATTCCAAACAAAATGTTCCAAGCAGAACTCGCAAAGCATACATTTTAGTGCACTTCTAGTCCTACACACATTACTGTTGATGTTGTTATTTTATCATATTTTATTTCTGTGAATAACTTGCTACTCATTTGCAGACTCCTATGTTAGTAATACTGACAACAGTATTTCATAGTGCATAAATATGTTTATGGTCTTTCACTGTATCAAAATTTCAGATGTCTAGCACCAGTGATTTATTAGTTATCAAGTTATCACCTTCAAACCAACAGAGAAAAAATGTTATGGCTGAATGTTATTTTATATTCTACACAAAATAATATCAGCAAACGGATGTTTTTTTTAGCTTAATTATGATACATCACTTGAGGACCTGAATTAAATTCTTCTACTGTCAGTCCCATCTCACAAGTCCCTCATGTTGTTATTACAAATTATAAAGGATTAAGAGTACAGCATATGGGTGCCCTTTAACCCCTCAAGTCAGCATTTAAACCCCTGCTAGCTGTACACTGTAGTGGTATTTAAATGACGGAGAACCTCACAGCCTGGCGAGGATGTACTGATGATTCTGGTTGAGGGGTTAATGCTCACATGAAGCTTCATGAAACTCTGTCAGTAGATTCAACAGTTCAACTGTGGTGATGATGTTAGCCTATTTTCGTCCTTAAGGAAGTAAATAAGCTAAGATGAATATGGAAGTTATGTTTTGTTTTCAGAAGGAGTTCCGCAGTCTGCAGCAGCACAGGTGCAGTGCTGCCAACTTCTGGTGTTCTCCTGCAGACAGGCCCTAGTGGAAGGATCCAAGCCTTGAGGAGCCAGAAGGAAAAAGAAAGAAATCCCGATAGGATTTGTCTTGACAGGTTATGAACCAAAATACAGCGTGTGAAGAGTACCATACAAGTTGACAAATTAATGATACTATCCCCCCCCCTCTTCCTGTCAACTTAGATAAGTACTGAACCATGTCCTAATGCTTTCTGAGTTAACATAAGTTTCTGGTTTGGGAATAAATTTGTCCGTCTGACCCAGCCAGTTTCTTCTTAATGGCATGGTGTAAAAGGAATTGTTAGGGTGGCCACACACCAACTGCATCAAGACATGAGGCAAAAGACACAGTCTCGCTTCATTCATGATTCGTCAGCATGAAGCTGACATCAGCATCATGACTGAGAAAGGTGTGTGGTGGTTTGCATAATCTCATTTGTTTCAACCATGCTCCTTTCTTTGCGTAATGTCGTAGACATCGTGTCTTGACGCATGGTGGTGTACGGCCTACCTTAAAGAGAAAAGACGTTTCTCTTGAAGAGAGAACTGTAGGAAAATTGTTAATTTTGGTGCTACATTCATTGATTGGAGTCCAGGCAAAGTTACTTCCTCATTATGTACTCCCTAAGGAAGGCACTGACAATAATGATGCCAGATTGTGATGACAGTGTCCTGCATGGAACTTTGCGCTTCACAGTAAAGGCACAAGACTTATTAGCCATGCATGCAAGAACTAACTGCAGAGTGCTGTAACATACAGAGTTGTTTGGTTTGTGGGGAAGGGGGACCCAAACTGTATTTTGCCATAGTGAGGCAACTGAGGAATGATGGCAGGGCAAACACATAACTGGATGGGAAAGGAGTGTAGGAGAAGAAAACAAAGTAAATAAAGGTATGAAAGAACATAAATGAGGAGGCTGTTTTATTTTGCTTTAGTGGGAAGAAAGGAATGATTAAATCATGGACAAGAGGTGGAAAAGAAACAACAGAGAAGGAAGGTAAGATATTATTGCCCATGAAATTTGATGAACAATGGAAGTAACCTCCATGAAGAACAAAATTTGTTATGAAAGTGCATTGTAGATTTTTCTGAACAGGGACGTTTGTACTGTACACTGTGAGACCATTAGGAAACTTGTCCTTGCAAAAGCCATTCCTGTTTTATCAGTCAGTTAATTGGAGGAGATTTGTTAATTCAACATTTTGCTCATCCAGTTTTTATGTATTTTCTAGACGGGGGCTCTCAAAACTCCCCATGCTCATAGGTGAGACGAGAGTTCGTTTGCTGTCACTCCAACATAACCTCATCACCAGACTTGATGGTGTGCCAACGCAAGGACTCACAAAACTTATCTTCCTTGACATTTACGACAATCAACTCGAACGCATCACAGGTCTTGATTCTCTTGAGAACCTTCGTGTCTTATTGGTAGGGAAAAATAGGTGAGCAGTGTAAGGCACTGTGTGCTGTGATGTAATATTATTATGGGTCACTTCACCAATAACAAAAATTCTGCTTTCCTGACATTTCTCTTAAACAGAAACCACACTTACCCAATTTCAATTGTAAGGATTAAAAAACTGAAGTGCAGATTTTGGGAAAAAATGTAATCTTGGTTAAACTTGAAGTCACTTGAAATTTAGCATTGCTGTGGTGAGTATTTTCCTAGGACCAGTTGAAAAATATGTATGGGGGTTGGAACTTTAATAGTGGCAACTATATATCTATAACTGATACAAAATAGATGCATGTTTAGAAGTTTTACTGTCTTTCACTGTAGTCATCAGCATTGTGTACAACCCAGTGCCAGCAATGCAGAAGTCGTAGGATACCTTTAGCAGCACCTGTTGTGTTGATAGTTCGAATGGAATGGTCTACTGCCTGAAGAGTCTCTGGAACAGTTCTGAAGCGAATGCCACAAAGTGGTTCCTTCATCGTAAGAATCAAGTCGAAGTTACAAGGGCTTAAGTCCGGGGAGTATGGTGGATGGTACAGCACTTCCCAGCCCCATCGATCAAACAGATCAGACACAGCGTGCGCTGCATGCGGCCAAGCATTGTCCTGCAAAATGATGGGTGGGTTCTGCAGAAAGTGTCGCCACTGCTTTCTCAAAGCTGGTCGCAGGTTGTGTTCCAAAAATGAACAGTAATACTGCGCATCGACAGTCTGCTGTCGGGGAACGGTATGCGTTAGGATAACACCATCACAGTCATGCACAAGAATCACCATAACTTTCTCATTGCTGGGGTTCTGACGGACTTTTGATTTTTGTGGTGACCCATAATGACGCCATTCATTTGATTGGCATTTCATTTATGGCCCGTATGATTTGGCCCATCTCTCATCCAGCCTAATGATACGGTGTAAGAAAGCTTCTCCTTCGTGCTCATAGTGCTCCAGGTGGTTATGAGCAGCGTTGTATTGTAGCCATTTCTGCATTTCCATCAAATCATGTGGAACCCATCGTGATGCAGTTTTTCTCGTTCCCAGGCATTCCTTCAGAATGTGAAGCAGTTGTATGCGCTAATCCTGTCTCTCGGGCCAGCTCAAGTATCGTATGGTGTCGATCACTCTCCAGTAATGCGGAAAGAGCATACACTTCTTCACTAGTACATAGGACACTAGGACAACTTGGCTGATGCATGTCTGCCACATTTTGGCATCCCTTGTTGAAGGCTTTTACCCACCTTGCCACTGTTCTGTAAGGCAATGCAGATTCCCTGCAAGCCTCTTGAAGACCTTGATGACACTGTCGTGCTGTACGGCCTCTGGCACATTCAATCTCTATCCAACTTTGTTGTTCCTATTTTGAAAACATCGTGACAACACTACATTAGACCGCTAGCTGACACAAGGCTCTGTTGTTCTCGTCACTGCGCATGTGCATGACGTGGGAAAGAAGAGTACATTTGCTCTGAGGTAAGGTAGGTATGTAACTAACGTGTGGTATAAGCGACATTATTTGGTTCTGTTGCATGGCGTCTCTACAGCAGTGTTGCCACTATTAAAGTCCCAACCCTCGTAAACTTGGGAAAACATAAAGCCTAAGAGCACAAAATCGAAGTCTCACTGTATGTTGTTTTCATATCATTTAGTATTATTGAAATAATATTTTTCTTCCTGTTTATAATTATTATTCTTTTAATTATTATACCGAAAGTCACATTTGACTGTAATATCATTTTCTGAATATTAGACCATGTCTGATGGATGTGAAGTGGTTTACTGAAGGGCATCCCTCTTGTTCGCTGTTATAAAAATATCTATTACAGAATTCGACGTATCGAGGGGCTGAACTCTGTGACAAAACTGGAAGTGTTAGATCTTCATGGAAATCAGATTACACAAGTTAGTGGGTTGTCAGCACTGAGTGAGCTCAAAGTTCTTAACCTCGCAGGCAACCAGATTAGAATTGTAGGTTCATCTGACCTCGAAGGTTTGCAGTCATTGCAGGAACTTAACCTGAGACGCAACAGGATAAAGCGTTTGTTGGGATTTGCAGAAACGCCTCGGTTACAGAAGCTGTTCCTCAGCAACAATGAACTTCACACGTAAGTAAATTGCATTGAAGTATTCATGGTGGCAATAAATTTGAAGAAAGATGAACAATTATCACATTCACTGAATAATTAACAGACATTTAGTTCCCATGGGCAAGCCTATACGAGTAATCCCAGTGAAGGTGGCTTACTGTGTCTTAATTAATGCATTGTCAGCTAACATTGTTCCTGAGATGTGGTTGACTTCCCTTTTAAAATAGCCATGTCTGTGAGACATTTTATAGTTTCCAATTGGTTGTATGAGAATTTAATTTTATCCACAGATGGTTGTCTTATGCTCTTTTAGTGGATGCTCAATAAATTATTTAATGAGATTATTATCTACTGCACGAATTCAAGAATTTGCAGTAGCCATTATTCAGTCATGTGTATGCAGTTCTGAGCACATCATACTGTAGAGGCTAAATGAATGGTTGATTAGGTCCGTTGAACCTTTCAAATATATGATGTGAGTCGAAGCCAGCATGAGCCAGGGTGGTTTTTCTCTGTAAATATATTTATTTATTTAGTGTGAAAGGTTCAGACACAAGTTTCATGTGTTCTAGGATATTATTAATGTACTGTTTTAGCAAGTAACTGCAGTATATAAAATCTGCTTATGTGAGATTCTGTTTTATAGATAGTAGTTATTTGTGAATGTTCTATTATGTGTCGTCATAGTGTCTGTTGCTACAATTCGCAACTGAGTCAAGTAGAGATATGTTTAACAAAATAATTCACATTCACTGAAAACCATTTTCCGCTATGCTACGTTTGCCACCACTGTATGGTCTACGTTGCTTTTCTTCCCCTCATGCCACATGGTACATGTGAGTGGTGCGTGCCTCAGCCCCCACGCCTAGTGAGGATCGCTGTAGATGCACGTGTCATGCTTCATGTTGCCTTCCTTTATTCAAGTGTAAGTTTTAGTCATACAGAAACAGGGGTACTGAGATATTAGGCTATGGGCCAAATCCAGCCCTAGAGTGGCCAGAAATTGAGTAGTCATGAATCTTCATTCTGTTGTATTTAGTTCTATACAGTATTTTAATATTCTTATACATGGATATCACAAAATGGTTTTTACACTCAGTAGTATTATAATTACTTAATTACTTATGCCATAGCTTCTTATGTTCCTCTGAGAACCTTTGTCTCCTTTACAACACATGCACGTTCTTCTCTTGTTATTTACCTTTTTCCTTCTTGTCTTCACTTAATTTCCCATAAATTACTCTCTGTGTCTTCCAACCATTATGGTCTGGGCCTTCCAAATTTTATGTGAGTCGTCCTAAGATCGGGCCTCTTTGTATCTGTCTTCTCAAAGTTCCTACCAAGCAGGCGGGTGTTCCTGTAACACTGGAGGCCCTCGGTTCAGATCTGGGTTGCTATCTCTGTTTGGCTTGGCTACCTTCTTCCAGATCCATTCTTTGCAATGCATTATTCCTAGTCCTATCACTCAGTGCTATATAGTCTGCAGAACTGACTGTGTCATGAGGAAAACCACAGACCACATCAGAAAGCTCCTTGTCCTCTCAGTTTTGTTCCTTGTTTATTCTTCTTCTGTGCGACATCTTCCAAAACCTGTATTCAGTGATATGGTTAGGAAATCAAGTGCACAACTTATGTTGCAGTGTTGACAACATGAGCAGTATAGTGAAAGCCTCGCAGCTGAGTGAGATCACTGTGGATGGTAACCCTGTATCATTGGGTGGGGACTGCGTGTCATTCCTTGTCTCTTATCTTCCCAACTTAAAGCTGCTGAGTTGCATGGAAGTTACTGAATCAGTGAGGAAGGCTGCACTAGTTTGGCGAGACAGTAAGGAAGCATTAACGCACATGTCCCAGCATGGCGCTAAAGAAATGTGCACCGATGTTCGGAGAGAAAAAGTAATTTCTAATGCCAGAACCAACTGGGAACTCTTACGCTCACAGACACAGTGTTCCACGAGTACCAGTCTTAGCAGCTCTCTGAAAGACTTGCATAGTGATAAAAGTTTTGAGGTTCCGAATGAAAGGCATGTTCAGAGTGACTCTGGTGTGAGCAGTGTTGCCTCTTCTATCTCTACAAACCCATACAGACCAGTAGCCAATGTGGGGAAGAGACTCAGGAGTGCTCGACCAGCACTGTTGAACGCATCGGAGAAGAAGCGATCGAGTTATGCTAGTCGCTCAGCCTCTCAAGAATCCAACACTTCCCAGCAGACAGCATCATCAGCCACAGCAAGCATCGATTTCTTTCGACTCCCACCTATTCTGACTCCTCTGTTGACTGACTGGAAGTCTCCGCAGGAGATTGGTGAAAGTCACGTGAATGAAGGTACTGCACAGTGTGATGCGATGAGACGATGTGATAGTCTGTCTAGTGTTGAACCCAATGTTGACAGTTCATTGAGCTCTCTGCCCAGTGATTCTGGTAGTAGTAGTGACACTAATAATGTTAGCAGTAGCAGTGAACATTCAGAGTTGGAGTCCAGCGAAGAGCCTGCCTCTCCTCACGAAGTTGCCAAGGGAAACAACAAGGTTCCGAGGAACGTGAAAAGTGCTATTCACTACCGCAAGAATGTGCCCCGTAGGGCACAGACTAGGGCTGCTACAGGACGAGTGCAACATAAACCCTCAATGCATCAGGGCAGGGTGCGGGAGCAAGGTGTGTATGCAGGGGTACAAGCCTGGCAGTTGAGAAGGCATCGTTAAACAGTGCTATATGTAATCACATTCTCAGGCCTGCACAAATCCCAGATACCATGTCGCCATGGCATCGGAAATTTTCATGATGTCACTTAGATTGCTATTACTGTACAGTTTGTGTCTTCCTTTTCTTTATCTGCTTTCCTCCTTTCTCCCTTATTGTTTTTTTTTTGTTTGGCCTCTCATCATTCCTTTCCCCCTTCCTTCCTCTATTTCCTTCTCATTAAAACACTCACCTCTGTTCTCTCATTCCTCTGTCGCTTATTTCCATCCTTCCTTTCTCCAGTATTCTTTTCCTATCCTTTTTATCTGTCCATCCTGCTATCATTTGTTAGTTATTTTGTTAACAAATGCAAGCAAGTGGCTCCTAGACTTGCAGGAAACGTGTGCAGGTCTGACATCTGAGGGCGTGTCACCATCAGATGGCAATGTAGATTGTTATGCAATTATCAAAAAATTACAAGATTCTATTTTCGAATTAACATTTAGAACCAGAATTGCTATTTGAGAGATCTTGTTGAGCGCACAGGACTTTCCTTGCATAAGGTTGCCTAGTGAAGGTGTGTTATGCCCTCAGATGTGCTTTAGGCAGAGTTTACATGTGTTTTATTCAGAAAGAGGTTTCAGACACTTGAATTACTTGTCTCTGATTTCAGGAGGAGATTTCCTTGTAGAGATATGTGGTCGGTGTCTCAATATATACGGGCAGGGAGCCCTCCGTTTCATAGACCGGCCATGGAATTCTGGGAAAGCTGCAGATGTGAACACAGTCAAGTTCAATTACATCAATTTCAATAATATCATCCCAGTTCTGGGCCGCATCAAGCAGCGATTCCCAAACGTGGAGCACTTTCTTTTCCGAGAGACGAACATCCATTATGTTGGCCAGCTGAATGCTTTGGCTGACATTCAGGGTCTGACTTCTCTCTGTATCGAATCAGATGGCAACCCAATCACCTGCAAGGAGTGGCAGAAGTACACCATTTACAGACTGTCTCACTGGGGGCTCAGGATTATAAATGGGGTCGAGGTAAGTTGAGACTAGACATTAAACAGCAATATTATATGGTGTCTGAGATTCCTTTGGCAATGAGCATTAAGATTATGGTGTAATTTGATGAGTAGCTGCAAATTTTCTGGCGGAGCCTGCTTCCTCCATTTTCAGGTTAGCAGAGATATTCTTTTCATTCTCTCTCTGTCACTCTTACAGCCCATATGTGCTAAATAGTGTAATTATACAAGCTATGAGTCAAATTTATCCAGCTTCTTGGATGCTCAGAATTGATTACCATATTGTGACGCTTAGAGCTGTTGCTAAGTAGTGACTGTGTAGACAATGACCGTTTTTAGACAATGGCTCTTTAAACACATTCCCGCCGCGACAAATATGCACGCAGCAATAGAGTTACTGTTGGAAACAGGGTGTTTTTACATGGTCCATGGTGAAATGTTATAAACAAGGGGCAAAGACAGTTGAGAGTTGAGTTCTGCAGTGGAGACTGTGAAGATAGGACCTGAGTGCATGAAGCTGAAGACTCCACTGTTGGAAGCCATTGCCAGGGAACGGCTGATGAAGATACAACAGGCTGGAAAAGGCTTAGCAGGTGCTGTGGTTATTTGTGAATTGTGGAGGTAGTGGTGGCACTGTAATTGCCTGTAGTTCCCAGTCGTATGTGTAAGTGGTCAGTCCATTCGCCAATCCAAACCCTGTCTGTAGTTACACTCCATACTGTGTGATGATATTCTGATTTGATTTTGTGTAACCTCTGCAGGTGAAACAGTATTGTTACAGATAGCAGACGAAGCAAAACAGCGGGCTAACAAACAGAAAAACAAGCTGCAGAAACAAACCTTCTGGAATAATCACATAGCTCTAAACAAGTGGATAATGCCCCTTATGAGGTGGAACAGGATTTTATGAAAAAATTGTAATAGAAAATTTTATTGGATTTTAATTAATTATTTGTGTTATTTTTAAGTGGCCTGCAATGTGTGGTTTTAGCATACATCAGAGCAGTGTAACAGTTTGGATGCATTAAGACACCTGAAGATGGCCATCTATATCCGAAACATGTTGTGTTAAGTGTTAAATGGTGAATAAACAATTGTATGATTGACAGACTGTGGATATTGACGTTTTGTTACATAAGCTACAGTTCAATCCAAAGTCTTGTATATATTTTCTGTTGAAACAATGTCTGTAACCTTTATTGGCTGTGAATTGCTGTATTGTAACAGTGCATATGTTAGATCCAGCTGGTTGAGTGACCCCTGAGTCACAATGCAGTTGCCAACCCTGTAGTACCAGGGAGGTAAGAGCCCCTGTTTGCAGATGATAACTGAACTAAGGATCGATCAATTAATCACACATGTGGCCCTTCCAAAAATTTTGTTGTTGCCTTGTAGTTCAGTAGATACATACAAACTGTCCAGAGAAACATGCTGTCTCTGTTTTCTGTGTAACCTTGAGTATGGATGCTGCAGGTCCCTCCAAATGTTAACACTTATCTACTGCAGTTCCCAGAAGTCTGTAACCCTAATGATTACCAATGTGGCAGCCTCAGATGTCAGTTCCTCTCGTCTCGTTATATAGATGCTTCTAGCGCTGTGTCTCGGAAACCATGCGATTGTCTTCCCTAACTGTTTTGCAGATATCAGATGAGCAGGTAGCAGCTGCATGTGCAGAGTTCCAGGGACTGAGTGACATCGTGCTGTGCTCACTTCCTGACGTGTTGCTACAGCCTCTCTTGGGACGCCTTCACCTAGAGGGTTCTCGCTTTATGTCACCACAGCAGCAGCCTGTCAATGCTAAGCAGTGGTTGTGGAGTGCTGATCCTGCGCTCCGCAGTGTCGTCGCCAAGGAGGCGCTTCAGTGGCACAGGGGCACGCTCTGTCAGGTAAACAGTGGGATGTAATGACATACAGAAGGGAGCTCAGGACTGGTGCTAAGAGCAAGCAGCATTTCTGTTTACTTTGCTACCATTCGTTTGCTGAAATTTTTTTTTTTTTTTGCAAAGCTTATTCACTTCTGTTCTGAAGGTAAGAGTTGGAGGCCCGTTCAGGTCCCGAGTACTACACCTCACATCGAAGAAGACAGTGAACAATGTTTAATGAAGAGACTATTTTCTGGAATGTGACAATGTGTAGTCTGGTAGAAGCGGTCTGATGTTTTGGAGGAATATACTGAAGATGGAGGCAGTATATACCTCTGAAACATCAGGAAACATCTTGCAGTTGCCCCAATTCTATATTCTCAGTCATGTATGGTATAATTGGATAACATTGCAGTTGGGGTTTGTTTCATACACGTAATGTTATGCATAATCTCTTGAGTTTTCTTGCTCTGTGGTATAGAGACTTGTCTGATTGATTATGAGATGTTATTCGATTTCCATTTGGGCCAACCAAAGAGGTCGGGGTTTTCATGTCTTGCAGTGAAGCATATTTGAACTATTGGAGATATTGTTCAGAGTGGTTCTGTTTCGTCAATACTGTCTGTGATTATTCTGAGTCTTTATGTTATAAAGTTACGTCTTTATTGTTATTTTGTATCCCTTTTTTTTTTCTTACTGAAAGCTATGTGGAGATTTCTCAGACTTGTATTCCGAGTAGGGTTAGTTCACACTGAATCTGAACTCTTATGCCCCACTTAAGCTTGGGCACCCTTTAATCCAGGGAGCATTGTAAGCTGTCAGCAACTGAACCAGAGATGATGCAGCTACTGTCCCCTCACTGAGTGTAGGGTAAAGATGGAAGGAGATAGTACTCTTCATATCATGGCTGTGAGAACCTCATTTGTCATGTATGTTTCCTGAATTGTGTATTCCATACTGACATACTTCTCCATGTTTTGTTTTTCCCTTCGCGAGGACTTCAGACTGTTCCCGACTGCAGCACATCATGCCACAGTGCGATTGCTTTGTGTTTCAGGAAGATATGATGTGGCGGCACAAAGGGAGGTCCCACCTGAGTTCATTGATAGAAGTGGCATGTGCTGCAGTTGAGAAGTTGAAACTGTTGGAACATGAATGGCCAGCCATCTTGGCTGAGCTGGTGCAGGAAACGCTTGTTGACTATTCTCATCTTGACTCATATATGAAGAAATGTATGCAAAGTCTCAGAATGTAACAGTGATAGTAACAGCTGTAAGTTTGTATGATCCACCAACCCTGCGAAGCAGAATCTTCTTGAGAAGCTGGTAACTTGCTCAGCTATTCAAGAAATTCCCTACCTTTTATAGTATCTGAAGATTCATTAATGTGTTCACAAGAACCTGACTTCAACCTGAGCCAGATGTGTTCATTTTGCACAACCTCCAACTCTCTTTATTTAAGTTCCATTTTAATATTATTCTTGCACCTATTAGTAGTGGGACTTGATGATATGTTGGCACATCTGTGTGTGACATGATAAAGTTCACAATGATGTGCATGTGCATATGCTTGAGCAGACCGAGCATACACCAGAATGCAGCTGAGAGTGATGCAGCGGAACAGAACTCGCACACATGACACAGACCTGACACTGCGCCTGGCCGTCACATGACTGTTTTGATGTGGCTTGCGCTGAACATGTGCTTCTGCAGGCACCAAACCAAAACTGAAGAAGATATTTCAGGAGGGGCAGTTAGGATGTAAGTTTACACCGGCTTCATTTATTTGCTTATTTCCTTTACATAGCATGTATATACTTTTAGCAGATTTCAATAAGAAGAGCAGGAAGGGGGGATATTTTGGTGCTGAGAAATGAGAATAGACATAAATTAGAAAAGTTTGTTTTTAAATTGGCACATTGTATTGGTTGGAGTCGGGGTAGCCCTGTCGGTATAGCAGCAGGCTACAGGCTGAATGGCCAGAGCAAGATTTCCTCTTCTGCGCATTGTTCAGACCCCTATCCAATGGGTGCTGGGTCCCCTTTACTCGGGGATAAAGCAAGTGAGGCATGAAGCTTACCACCCTTCTCCATCTAGTACTGACTTCATGAATGGTGGAGTTGTACTTCTACTCTAACATAGATCTTCATGGCTGAATGCTTAATTACTCATAATGAAGTACAGGGACCACTTACCTTTGCATACTCCTATATTTATCATTTTCCATGATCATGTAGGGTTTTAAAGTTCTCGTAGCAGTGATTATGAACAGCTCTGTCTTCTGGGGATACAGAGTCAAAAGAAAATGGTCCACCAAAATGACAGTTGACTTTCAATGAACTGTGCAATGTTTTATCCCAGAAGATAGAACTCTTCATACCCACAACCTTGAGAACCTCAAATCCTACGAAATCATCATCTCTCTCGTATGCATGAAAGTCCAGTCTAGAGCAGTATATTTCTGTGTATGTATGACAACGTTGTGTCATGTGTATCTTGAAACATTAGTCGTTCTTAAATCATTGCTGTGTATCGGTGAATGGGTACATTCCAGAGTTTACTGCAAGAAAAGGTTTGCATTTTGGAGAAACATCATGTGCTGTAGAATTTACTGGATGCTCTCAATCAGTGGGTCATGCCATATTCAGTGTCATTAGTGTTTCCAAGGTTGCATGTCCTGTTAGGGGACTTATTGATGGCATCTTTGCTTTTCTCATAGATGCCACAGAGTTTCAGATTGCATGCAAGATAAATAACAAGATCTTATCACAGGCAGCAAGTAGTAGCAAGAAGTATTGTAGCTGTGATGACATAGTGTCAGTAACAGCATTGTGACTGTGATATAGAAATTATATGCTCCATTACATTCGTACTGGTGCATGAGCCAGCAAAAATAATGGAAAAAATAATTTCTCTTCTCCCTTTCCCATCCCTCTTATTTTTCCACCCCATCATTATCGATTTCTTCCTTCTGTCAACCCTCTCCTTTATGTTAAACAGTTCTGTCAACCTTGTTCTTTTATCTCATCCATCCTCTGTCTCTTTTTCTCTCATTCTTTTCCCATCTCTTTTATTTTTGCATCCTGCTGTCATTCCTGTCTCACATCCCCACAATGTGAGAATAAGGTTCACGCTTCCTTGTAGGAACGACGCTACACTTGAGCATTTGTCTGTTGTTCATAGTGTAGATAGAAAAACGGGAACAATTTCACAGAATTTATGTTAAGTTTTAAACCTTGCTCTTAAACAAATCTTTAGTATGTTGAGAGAGGCATGCAGTAGCATAGTTGGTTGAGGCATTGTGCTGTAAGTTGGAAGGTCATGAGTTCGATTCCTGATGAGGTCAGATTTCTCAATTGATCTAATCCTTCCAGCCACAGTATGACCCTGGTGTTGACTCGGCCTCTGATAGAAATGAGTACCAGGAATATTCCTGGGGGTAAGAGGCGGCCAGCATGTAAGGCAGACAACCTCACTGCCATCTGTGAGCTGATTGTGTACAAAATGTGGGAGCCTCAACATCTCACAACCCTATGGGCCTCCAAAGCCTGTTACAGGAATAGCTTTACTTTTCTTTTAATGTGTTATGTATGAAATTTACTCATATTCATAACTAGCACAAGCATTTAATGAAGAAAACTATGGCATTCAGTTAGTCAGTATTTGCCCTATTTTCAGGCAGGATGCGATATATTGTATCATCATTGTAGATGTATATAATTTTTGAACATTTTGAAAACTAAATCTGCAACAGGTTGTTACATTAGATCCCCCCCCGCCCCTTTGCTCAGTGCATTTCTTTATGTATAAAAGGATGATGTTACAGCAATTTGTAGGTTTGCAATACAAAATTCAGTTCATAAAGCACAGGACGCACACTTCCTTATACAGCAGCACTGTTCTTTTAAGTGAAACAGTTCATTCCATGTGCCTTAACAGTTTGAAGCCTCGACTTCATGTAAATAATAATAATAAATTCAGTTCCTTGTACACAAAATACAGACTGTCTCTCCAGTACACATATCACTTGGTTAATGCTGTTAAGAAAATAACTACTGTTTATCATGAGAATCCTAGAAAACCCATAAATCAGAATGCAGAATTTGGAATGTTAAACCAGGTGGTAAGTATGAGGATTATTAGATTTCATCTCGTGTGTCTGTTTGGGGCCCTCAAGAAAGCACCAAGGGACCAAGACATGGCCTCACTGTTGCAGCGGTTCCAACAAAAGCCAAGGGAGCTGTTTTCAGATGACATCCATCTGCTGGTGCATCAGTGGGACACCTGCCTCAGTCCCCATGGGGACTGTTTAATAGCCCGTTCTGTGTCACCCAGAGTAATCCTCAAGCAGGTTTTGTTTAATGAAGACTAATAATAATCTGTATTCTTTAAGAGGTTATGTAGTACAATGTAGTTGTGCAGTTGCAGCGTCAGTACCTCGGGAGGCTGCGCTGGTAGCTTGCAGAAACAGCAAGGAAGCAGGCAGGAGCGGCGGAAGAATGACAACACTTAGCTACAAGTAGAGGAATGATCAGTAAACATAACAACATACAGCAGGAACATAACTAGCTACGTATCAGCTCATCATCCATCAGCCATGACTCCATGACTCATTGATATTATTATTTTTCACAGTTCATTGTTCTTTTAATATGTGTCATTTTTTTTATAATAAAGTTTGCCGTAAGTTTGCAGTCTTTGGAGTGTGATCATGTTTGGTCTGGGAGATATATAAACATTTTCAAAGGAACTTGCTGACCTAATTTTCAGGTTATGATGATAGTATGTTTGTACTATGCAGCGTCACATCCCAGAAGACAAGCAATTTTCCTATTCACCACTGTGAGAACCACAAATCTGTCAATAATTTGAAATATTAACTTTTTATGGACGAATAACTGATAAAACTCGGTAATATTAAAAATACTGAGACAGCAGCATCTGCCAGTGATATGACAGAACATACCTGAACAAGATGTTTCAACTGTTATCAGGGATCAGCAAATGTAGGCTCAGTTTAGTAGTTTGACAGGAATTCTGCTTGCGAGACGCTGTTGACTTCAGCAGTAGATGGAATGGTCAGCATCATACCCTTGCTGCTTTACTGCTTGAGAAGGAAACCCTGGGGTCCCAGAGCTGGTCTGGTTGCCTTGGAGAACAAGAGAACGTTTTGCACCTGCTGGAAATCCCACAATGATTCTTTGGTCTAGCTCATAGCCTAGCCACTAGGCATAAGGCATATAGAATACTACTCCTTATGTAATATGTATAGAAGATATTTACTGTTTGATATCTGTGGAGAAATAAAGCAGAAGGAGGAGATATTGACAGAGTCAGATATTTTTCCACTTGGCCTTGAGTTTTTGCTCATGAATGACAAGTAAATGAGTGGGTCAGTTTTGCTCGGCCTGTTTTTTATAAATTATTGTTACATGTGTGGGAATGCATTTGAATTCAAAAAGACTTGCATTTACACACATTGCATCAAACCAGTTAAGAAGCCAGAACAGTGAATTCAGGCTATGATATTTCCCAACTGTACAGGTACTTTCTGTACTATCATCATCATCATCATCATCATTGTTGTTGTTATTTGTTTTATTGTGTCTGTTGTTTTATATTTCTCTTCACTGTATAATTAGCCCTGGCTGCTGAGTTCAGCTTGTAAATATGTGATGTATTGAACTGAATTAATATTATACCCAGTAGCAGAAGTTTATGTTCTTTACACAGGATGTGACTGCTTTCCATGTAAAATCACATAATATTCTGTAGTAGCTAAAACTTGATGGAATGACATTCACATACTGTATTCACTATTAGGTAATATTTGGTTCCTTGGTGTGTTCCTGATAATGAATAATCTGTTATCACACATATTTATAAAACACCATCAGCTGAAGCACTTCGCACTTTATTCAGTAACAGTTAAGTCAACTATGCACGTATCTGGAAAGAAAAACTTAACAAGACGTGATGATGCATATTGCGACAAAAAAAACCCTCTGAAATTCATATGAAGGAAAATATTTGTAATATGCAGTAAAAATATCTGTGAACTGCATCCTGTACTGAAGAAGAAAAATGTGGCTGAGTCTTATCTAGAGAGCAATGTTTTTCATCACAGTATTTAAGCACGAAGATCAGAAAAGGTTACTGGTGTAGTTGAAATAGAGTTCAGAATGAAGAATAGAACTGCATCCATGAATAACCATTACTTTTGTATTGCTGTAGCAGCTTGGGCTATCACATGCTTGTTTGCGTAGTAAAGTTCAGGTGTTTGGATCTTCTCTGGTTTTTCCTGCAGTAGAAAATTTGGGAAATTGTGCAGCACTGACAGAAAACAGATTCCTGCTACCAGATTAGGGGGATCTAGTTGTCTTGGAACAGGAGTCTGAGACACACTTTCACAAAGTTCTGAGTGAGGTATGAGTAAGTACATCTTAGTGAGTGAGCACCCTGAATTCAGAGATTATGTAAACGTTAATATTATATTGTAGCACTTGAGGGGCTATGCTACAAGTCGGAAGGTCGCGGGTTCAAGTCCTGATGAGATCACGTGATTTTTTTACGATCTCCCCTTTCCAGCCGCACTATGACCCTGGGGTTCACTTTGCCTCTAACAGAAATGAGTACCAGGAATTAATTAAATAAGTTTCCTGGGGAGTAAAGCGCAGCCGACGCGTAAGGCTGACAACCTTGCTGCCATCTATGAGCCGACTGTCTAGATAATGTGGGGCCTTCAACGTCTCACAACCCTATTGGCCTTCACGGCCTGGTACAGGGAGAGCTTTACTTTTTTTTTTTTTTTTTTAAGCACGCTGTTGCACATCATTTATTGTTCAACAGATGACACTGATTCACAGTCTTAGGTGCAATGCATACTTGTAATATTTATGTGAAGGCTTCGGCCAGAATCTTGACGATGATATTAATGCATGTTACAGGTACACGAGCGCATAGGTGGGACTACACATTGAATATAAGAACCACAAAGTGGAAGCACCTGATGGTCAGTATCAATCAAAATGTGTAGTGCAGTGTACAGAAACTTATAAATGAGTTTCAAAAGGATGTGTTGCACATAAGACAGTCATATGCTAGTATAGTTATTTTATTTATTTGTGGCGTATATAAGAATTGTAGGGCCAAATGGTACCTCTAGGGAGACCAAGTGGTAGGTCGGTGGATAATATAATGGATATCAGATGCGATGAGGGTGGTGTAGACTGGATTGATCTGGCTCAGGATAGGGAACAGTGGAGGGCTCTTGTGAACGTGGTAATGAACCTGTGGGTTCCATAAAATGTTGGGAGGTCCTCGAGTAGCTGCACAACTGTCGACTACTTAAGAAGGGCTCAGTAAGTGGCAAATGGCTGGATGCTTAGTGGATAATGAATTGGAAAGGATTTGGAAGGAAACAGTCATGGCCTATGTTGAAGTACTATTCCAGTCAGAGATATTGGGTTTTCGGACTATCCATCGTCCTGGTTTTAAGATAACTAAAAAAACACGACGTTTCGGAAACTGGATCTGTTACCGTCCTCAGGTGAGGGAAAAACATATTCTGTTGGACCTATTCACTGGACAGTGATTGAGGCTAGCTCTTTCTAGGGGACCCAACAGAATAGGTGTTTTCCCTCACCTGAGGGCGGAAACAGATCCAGTTTCCGAAACGTGTTTTTCTTAGTTATCTTAAAATCAGGACAATGGATAAAGTCCGAAAACCCAATATCTCTGTGTGTTATACACCATCGTCAGAATCCTATAGTAACTGGTTACTATTCCAGTGCTTGCATGGAGGGAAACCCATAGGAAACTGCAGGATAGCCGGTGTCCTGGCAGATATCAGAGCGTCATTGTGTCAATGAAGATTTAATTTTGCTTCTCTTCATCAGAACAATTCAGTTTAGTGACAAGGCTACTGGCTTGAATTGTGGTTCGATTCCTGGCAGGGGAAAAATTTTTCTCTTCTCCAAAGCGTCCAAACCGACCCTGGGGCCCACCCTGCTCCTTCCTAATTGGTCCTCGGTACAGTTTTCCTTGGAGTTAAAGCAGCCGGAACGTGACCGACCACTGACGTCCGTGTAATGTCGATGTTAATGCGTGGGGTTGTACCACCCCTCTTGATAAATGTTCATGGCGCTAAGCACAGGAACAACTACCTTTACCATCGTACATCAGATTAGTAAAAAATGATGACATCTCTCCAAATATAAAGGTAGAGTTGTCCCCATACTTAATCACCACTCCAAGAAGATGTGTGAAGGGTTGGACGCATGGCTGTACGCATATTAACCTCGACATTAGAAGGGGGGGCTAATGGCTTAGCGTCAATCCATGGCATCTTTACCCCTGGTGCCAACTGGATAAGTGCCTAAGTGTGTCCCAGAGCCGGTCTGGACCCTATGGAGAACGGGAAATATCTCTTGACTCTGCCGGGACTTGCAACCCAATTGTCGTCACCTAGCTCGTAGTTTAATCGTTGTACCCACTGAGCTGCCTGTCCGAAGTTCTGTTCAAAATTTGGATTGAATACGTACCAAGAGATGGAGTTCGTTTTGTATGAAAATAGCTCCATGATAAGGTCAGTGAATTATAGTGAAAAGCACGTGACTTGTTTTGTACCATTTCCACCCTCGTGTTAATTTGTTATGTATCTTGCTACCGCAGAAACGCTTTAATAAGCAAACACAGTCAGGAATTCCATATAATACGGTCGTAACTAGGCGAGTTGTGTGGCAAGACAAATGTTTTGTCTGTGTTCATACATGAATTAATGTCTCGCGACTTTCGAAATGCTGTTAGTAATAACTGGGGCCACCAACCACTTCTGATCTGATACATTCGTTTGTCCATTTTCGTTGTTACTTCAAAATATTTGTGATATTTCATCAATAAAAGTTACGTCTTTTTAAGATACTAAAATAACTGACTCCCTTACTCGGTAACCAGCGAAGTGCCCGATCGGAGGTTAAGCTTTTAGCTGAGGACGTGGTATTGCGCTGCATGATCAGGGCTGCAGGATTACCGTACACATCAGGGGCGGGGGCGGTAATAGACGGGCATGGAGCAATGTTGGAATTATGATTAGTAGGGGGAAAACCGAAAAAAAGACCTTCTTTGTAAATTCGTTGATATCGAATCTGACATGAAGCCACCTGGCATTGAACCCAAGACCCCATGGTGAGAAGTCAATCCTCCTCGCCAAAGTATGGCCTAACATGGATTGTATTTATTCTAAATTTTCTGGGGCGATCAGCCGTGTCTGTGCCGCAGTGGTCACCTTCATTTTCATCACCAAGGTCGGTGATCTCTGAAATCGTCAGTTTTGGGCTCAATTGACACAGCTGTTCGCCAGAGAAGTTTATATAGAGCGTGTACCATGAAATCTCCAAATCTTACGTAGTGGATAGTAATCACAAACAAAAATCATTTTTATTGTTAAATAAAACCAGCATGAAGTATGAAAAAAACTGAAGTTATTTCATACATTTCTTAACTCGTAAATTATCTCTAAATTGTATCTTTTTTTTTTTCATAAATGCATTAAAATTTGGGTTCTGAATGCTGAGTTATCTCTTAGATATTACATTTGACTCAAGTCCCAGAATAGAACCCTGGACATATTAATCGTGGCAGTTTTTCCAGGTTTCTTCAGTCATTCGAGATGAATAGTTCATCAACATTTGTTACAATTTCCTCCGTCCTGTGAGATCAACAATTCATATGAAAGCTTCTGTTTTGGCTTCACTTATTAGGGTTAGGAGTTGTTACATCTCCTTTAGTGACGTAATCGTATTTGTCTCTCGATGTTTCTGCGAAATCTGCTGCCTCCATATTCAGGACAGAGAATGGAAGCAGAAGCTTCGTACATACAAAAATGTGCATATCAGACTACATGACATGACATTCCAGAAGAATGTAATCTTCATGGCCACTGCTGTGAGAACATCAGATCTCATATTTAACTCCATATCCTTCTGGAAATGTTAATATTTATTCAGATAATCAAGAAGATCCTCACTTTATTCTGAGTCAGCTGAATCCAATCGACATATTAACATCCATTCTTCATTACTGCCGCCGCGCAAAACAAAATTTTACTCACTAACGATCCGGATGCATGATCAACGCAACCCATAAGAAACTTCACCAAAGAAGTTCATCCAGCACCATTGCGCACTCTGTGGTTTAGGAAGTTTTTCATTGTTTTCGTAAATCGCTTCAGGTGACGCTAGGACAGTTTCTTCAAAAAATCATAACAATTTCTCTCCAAAAATTAACCCACTCACCATTCATGGTCATATAACACAATGTCATCCTGTACGTAACAATTCTACGCGAAATAGCTTTGTTATAATCTATAAGTAAGTAATTTGAACGTCTTGCTTGACTATAAAGTACTTCACTGCCACAAATAAACCAACAATGTTCTTGTCTGGTTCCCTCTCACACATACAAACAAATCCTTGTAACAGGAACTCAGATTTGTGTGAGATAGTTGAATGCGTTCATACAAAATTTATGGAATGGCGTAAAATATACCCAGTATTTGGGGTTATCTGGACTTGTTTGCACTCACTTTAGGTGAGTACCACATGGTTGCACGTTTGCCTGATTCCAAAGTTACCTCGAGTTTTCTCCACGCGGTTCAAGTTAAATCACGTTGCTTACACGAATTCACATTCACCTTTAAATACCAGGTACGGAAAGAACACGTGAAGTCCCGGGCTTGTGTTGAGTTGGGGTGCATCCAGCCGCATACAGTTTGTCTGTTTGCCAGTAGAGCTCCAAGTCAGGGTGTGTTGGCTGTCGTTCGGAATGAGGTTGTCTGCGTGTTACTCCGGGCGATGGGGTGATCCGGCCCCTTGTTGTTCCTATGAGCCATCGGGACCGGCCTGTACAGGTTTTTGCACATGTTTTGGTTGCTGTTGCTCCGGTAGATGCTGCTGCAGTTGCTTCCCCTCCTGCTGTTTGCACCCGTCGTGCTGACGCTGAGCGCCGCGGCGTTCAGTGGCATCACGTTCTGATGCTGAAATTGCACCAACAACAGTGTTACTATATAACCCTTGGGGGGTATCTGTTTCTACACATACATACACACGCACACGCACACAAACAAAAACAAAAGTTTAGTCTTTGTTATGGAGATTAAGTGTGTTTTATGTTCCGTAGAAACTGAATACTTATGCAATGCAAATTTGGTGATAGTAGCTGGTAGGCTTATCACTTACCAGCTTCCTTACGCAGGGTTTTCTGCTTATGTGACTTATCTCATTGCAGAAACGTGGAAACTTGGGGGACATTTTGATGATTAAGATGATACTACCATTTATCTCATCTCCACAGTGTCCAGACGTGCCCTGGAGCCCATCAGCCTCCTGTCCAAAGAAATTTGTGGCTCAAGGGGTAAAGCGGCTGGGGCGTGAAGCTGACCACCCCCCTCCATCTAGTGCCGAGGTCAATGGAGCTATATCTCCACCCCCCATACGTCTTCACGGCATAATTAACTTAATTAACTGAGCACAGAGACAAATTGCTGGAGGACACATCGCCTGTATGAATTAGTGTAGATTACTTGTTATACACTCATGGAGGAGAAGTTGCCGATGTACCGTAAAAACGGGGTTTCTTTGGCGCTAAAACGCATCTGAGATGCTTAGGCCGCTCTTCCACTAGCAAGTCTGTATATTTCGACTCCACCCACCGAAGTAGGTCTCTCTCTTATCGGTGACTGTTCAGCTACTGGTTCGTCTCTGACATTAAGGGAGGAACACAGACTGAGGGTGTTAGAGAACAGGGTGTTGAGGAGAATATTTGGACGGAAAAAGATGAAGTGACCGGAGGTTGGAGAAAACTGCATAACGAGGAGCTTCATAACTTGTACTCTTCTCCAATATAATTAGAATGATCAAGTCAAGGAGGATGAAGTGGGCAGGGCATGTAGCACGAATGAGGGAGTCGAGGAATGCGTATAGGATATTGGTGGGAAAGCCACGATGGAAAGAGACCACTGGGAAGACCAAGATGTAGATTGAAGATCAATATTATGACTGATCTTAGAGAGGTATGATAAGGTGATGTGGACTGGACTGATCTGGCTCAGGAGAAGGACTACGGTAATATGATAATGAACCTTCTGGCTCCATAAAATGTTTGGAAATTGTTGAATAGCTGAGGAGCTGGCAGCCTCGCAAGAAGGGCTGAGCTCCCTGTAGTTAGTCAAACTGATCAACTAGACTTTCGCACGCAGAAATTTCAATTCTGTTATGTAAGGACACTACCATTAGCTCGGAATACGTCGTCCCGATTGTAGGATGGTTAGTGACTAATGAATTGGAAAGGATGAGGAACGAAGCGTTGGCAGTCTTATATGAATTTTCCCGAACTGAAGAAAATCACGATAAACCTCAGAATAACCCACCTTCGAACCAAAGTTCCGACCCATAACGTCTATAAGCAAGAGCGTTGCCCGCTCGACAGCGAAGCTCGTCCGAAGAAGATGCAGAATGAAAACAAATGAAGGCAGATGAACATGTTAACGAGGAAGAACAGAAGTGGCACTGACTAGAGCACGATGGAGGAGACGACACCAAGAGACCAGTTTGTGTTTATTTAACGACGCTGTTAGTTTCTCAGTCGATATAGCATCTAGTGAGAAGGGCGTGCGAAGGAGTACTGGTTGCCTAATTTGATGTTTTGTCCCGGAATTTTCCTGGAGGCCCTGACGAAAACGTAAAAAAAAAAAATTCTCAGGATGGTTGGTGTGTGGTCAAGATTCGAACCCAGTACCTCCAGAAAGCAAGACCAAATCCCTCGGTTCCAATGTCGATGTTTCCGAAAATTAGAGCAATGTACCTGTCCTCCACATCCCCCCTCTGCTGGTGCTCACATCACCTCACCTGCTGGTCAGCGCGCCGTCGCGGAGCTCCGTGTCCACTTCCTCGGCGGGACCGGAAGTTGAAATATCCATACACGATGGGATTCATGCATGAATTGGTGCAGGCAAACAGGAAGAGACCCTTCTGGACCCTCTGGTCCACAGCTCCTGCTGACGCTTCGTCGATCCAATACCTGCAACAGGCAGTTGTAGGTACACATGCGCTCTTAGAGAAACTAAAGGCGACGATCACGCTCCGGTCGCTAGGAGACTGGTTCTCGACATAGTAAAAGGTAAAACTATCCCTGTAACATCCCGTGGAGGCCCATAGGGTTGTATGACGTCGATGCTTCCATATTTTCTAGACACTCGGCTCACGGATGGCGACGAGGCCGTCAGTCTTACGCGCCGGCCGCCCTTTACCCCCAGGAAGACTCCTGTTACTAATTTCTGTTAGAGGCTGAGTCGACCCCAGGGCCGCTAGAATGGAGACCAATATGGAATTTCTGTAACTCAAACAGTATAACAGGGGTAGTCAAACGTGCTGAACACCGGAGCCACATGGAGAAGTTGGAGAACCACGGGCAGAGGTGGACTGGGCAGCGCAAGTGTGTAGGTACGGGCTTTCTATCCGGCGGCTTCTCGGTTTCTATATCCAGATGGACTATGTTTGTTTTCCCATGGACCGCACTAAGAACTCAAAGCAGCCGCATGTGGCTCGCGAGCCACACATTGCCTACGACTGATACATAATCACAATCGAATGACTATAGCCCAAAGTCCACGTGTTCACAAAAGACTCACTACATATGACACATAATTCTAAGTTAGTTCAGTCAAGGCCGCGCCATAGCCCAAGCGGTTAGTCGCTGGCTTCCCACCGCGGCGGCCCGGGTTCGATCCCGGGTCTAGTCAAGTGGGATCTGTGGTGAGCAATGTGACGCTGGGGCAGGTTTTCTCCGAGTACTTCGGTTTACCCTGCCAATCTTCATCCCACCAATTGCTCCACAATCACCCTCACCTATCATCTGGGGCTGGTACAATAGGCCAGAAGTGGCCGCAGTACAAGGAACTTAGTCCCACCCAACTAGCAATAAAATAAAAAATTAAAAAAATAGTTCAGCCAAGTTCATATCTTCATAACCTATTTCCTTAGAGTGTGTTTAACCCTTTAAAGCAGTGTTTCTCTACTGCCGCACCCTCGTCTTATAAAAAATGAATTTACCGGGCCGCGTCCTCACAACGGCTGAGAACCACTACTGTAAAATACAGTGGTAATGGTATACACCACCTGCCTTGACGTTTAAGAAAGATTTGCATTTTTCCCTACAGAGTGTGCTCATCTGTTTTATTTAGTTCTCACAGTGAACAGACATTGCTTCCATAATCAGCCTGCGTTGTCGATTTATCTAAACTTGGAACGTATAGACACATTTTAGTAAAATTTCACGAAAACCCGTTCAGAATTTCTTTATTCTTTGCTTGGAGACAGAGGGAGAGACATGGCTGAGGTAATAGACATATTTTAGAACTTTTCATTTGAAAAAAAGACAACTCCGTGACCTGTTGTGCGAAACCGAACTATACCGACCGAGCGACCGCCACTTGTCGGCGAAATTAGTGACCGCCTCTGTGGTTTAGTGGTCAGTTCCTGGCTACAGATCGAGAGGTTCGATTTCCGGCGCTACCAGATTTTATGAGAAGTAGTGGGTCTGGAACTGGGCCCACTCAGCCTCGTGAGGATAATTGAGGAGCTATTTCAAAGAAATAGCGGCTCCGGTCTAGAAAACCGAGATTAATGGCGTGGGGAACCGTTGCGCTGACCACCGCAAAAGTTGGCACTCTTAGTTCGAAACGCACTAAAAATGAAATTATATATTATTAAATTAAGTTTAAAATTTTAATTCGAAGCAGTGAATCAAATTTCACAGCCATTCTGTGGAGTAAATGGAACACAGCGGCGAGTGTGAGTAAACATAAACGGAAAATCTGACTTCACACTAATGGCAGCATTGGAGGTAAACGCAGATAAGACATAAACAGTTTATTCTTAGTGATGGATTCAGAATTAAAAGGGACGCTCTGTGTATAGACTGTGCTTGAAGAACAAATTATTACACGTCATGGACTAGACGCCCTTGACCGAAGTTGCACGAGTTTGCAACTCCGACTTAACAACCTGAACCGCACGTGCGTGTTTCGTTGGTTGGAAGGCGTCGCCATCTTGCCTCCCGATCGTAATCTGAAGACGCGAGTTAGACTCCGGATGTTGGGCATCTCTCTTAAAACATTCTTTATCACACAGAATTACTGGGTTTTTGGACTTTTCCCATCGTCCTGACATCTAGGTAATAATGGACACGACGTTTCGGAAACTGGATCTGTTTCCGTCTTCAGGTGAGAAAGGAAGACGCTCATTTGGGCCCCTTAGAAAGAGCTAATCTCAATCACTGTTCTAGTGATGTACGGACCAATGTGTACGGCATAACGTCTGGTCCGCTGCATACCGGGTGCAAAGTGGCCCCTCTCTACGTTACTTTACAAAATTAAACTTTTTTTGCTGCTTCAAATTGTGAAGAATGTATGGAGCTTTACCTTCATCCTATACTCCTTTAGGACAGCTATTGAAGGACGCCTGTTACTCACCAGAGGCACATGACGTAGTAAGGCGTCCAGCAGATGAAGAAAACCACGAAGATGATGATGGCCATCTTGAGGGTCCTGGTTCGGGCCCTGGTCAAAAACACCAGGCTTGAACGCCGGAAGCTGTCTGCAACATCCATTTAACAATGCTCCATAAACTGTTACGGGGTGCTAATTTTTCATTTTGTTTCATGCTAAGCTATTAACTCTCTAAAGCATAGTGCATCTGTGTGTTCCGCATGGTCCTCTCATGAACAGCAGTAACTGGTTGGGCTCTGCAGCGGTGACGTGATATGTTTCCTGTGAGGTACGGACTGACTCTTTAAATGCTACAGAGTATGAATGCAGATGTCATAGCATGAAGTGAAATATGGCAGGGCGATTATGACTCGTGAAGGGGAGAATATGGTCGCGGCATTCTCTTTAAAGGATTCAGCAGGGGAACAAAATATTCCCCTTGGCAAAAATCGAGCGAACAACCTCTTGAATGTAAAATAGCAGTTCTGATCCCTAGATCATATAGTTGACAGGGAGTGGCTGTGCTCCGCTTTGAGGCGCAGCAGAATGCAACTAGAGGCTCTATAGTCCAGATTCCGGGCCCCCAACAAAGGAGGCTTAAGTAAGGGGAAGATTAAGGAAAACAGCAGTTAATTAAGGAAGACAAGAAAGAAAGTGGAAACAGGAAGACAAAGCGGGTAAAATAACCCAGTGAAGGAAATATAAATAAGAAAGCAAATAATGAGAGAAAGAAAAATGAAGACGAGAGAAAAAAATAAACGAAGAAGGAAGAAGAAATAAACCAATAAGAGAAACGAGGAAGACAGAAGGAAATATAAGAAAAGAGGGGAAAATGAGGAAACCTAAAGCCCAAGTCTTTACATAGTATAGCGGTAGTAATGCTGAATGAAACTATGGGAACACAGTGCACCGACAAAGCGATGTTTGCTTTGCTTGCAGGTAGTACTTATTTGACCGGTACCTGGACCTACCAACAATGATACGTCTGACGTCAGGCGTCAGGTGTCGTTATTTTCATGAAAATATCTTATTTAGAAGAACTGTATGAAAACACTGTTTTTGTATTTTAGCAATATCGGAAGTTATGGTTGGACTGTGAGCATACGGAGTGGCGCCTGTTGTGTGTGTGTGCAGAGGGTAAGAAAGAAGTAAGTAAATAAACAAGTAAAGAAAGACGGAGAGAGAAATGCAAATACAAAGCAACAAATAAATAAAGCCAGGAGCTGAGACTGGGAGGCGACTGCTGTTGGGCAAGGTAGCATACCGTCCTGGGACAGCTGGTAGCGCCTGAAGATCTCCGCGATGATACAGGCGTAGGAGATAATGATGACCACAAGCGGCAGGCCGTACATCATCGCCATCCCCAGAACGCGGTACGTTAGCTCATGCAGCTTCGTCGGGAACATGTTGAAGGCCACGCACTGCTCGTACCACGTGACATTCGGGTGTCTCTCCACGTGGAAAATCACCATCTGCAACACAATCGGCCCCCCCAAAATTCTGTGTTTATCGTGTTCAAGTGAATCAGCCAACTCCCATCCTCACAGAAAATGTCACTAATTAACTAACTAACTCTCTGGTAGCAGAGCCCGAAGGTTCAGCCCCGCTAATACCAAAGACCGCCACTGGACACGATCCCGAGCCAGTTCCATCCACCTCCCATCCTCACAGCCCATTTCCCTAAGACACATTATTATTATTATTATTATTGTTATTATTGGAGGGGGTGGGTTTCCCCATGCACTTAGACCAGTTATTGGTCCATTGTGCGTCCCCCTTTAATTTCTACTGTCTCCATACCCTACAGGTAGACGGTGCGTGCTATCAGCCCCGTTGAACCAACGAGGTCGGCCCTCGGTACCTTGATAGTTCCCCCATCTACCAGAGGTATTGGAAACTACTTGGGCGGGAAAGTTTTTACCTGATAATTTTGCTCAGAGGTCTCCTAGAGACATGAGGTTCTTTTACATGCCGTAAATCTACGACGCGGGATCCACGGCTTAAAGTCCCTCCCGGAGGACTTGTTCCCTGAATTTTTCCGCCCTTAAAAATTCCACGACCTCCGCCGGCTTTGAACCCGCGTACCTTGTGTCATGAGGTACCCCTAGACTACGGAGGCCGCTAAGACACATCTTACTAATTAACTACCTCTCTGGTAGCAGAACCCGAAGTTCAATTCCGCTAGTACCAAAGCTGGCCACTGGAGACGATCCTGAGCCAGTTCCATCCACCTCCCATCCTCACAGCCCATTTCCCTGAGATCCATCTTACTAACTAACTAACTAACTCTCTGGTAGCAGAACCCGAAGGTCCAACACCGCTAATACCAAGGTCCGCCATTGGACACTATCCTGAGTCAGTTCTATCCACTCATTTTCACAGCCCATTACCGCATAGCCCGCGTGATCTTGTTGACCATCTCTCTCATGCTGCTGAAATAAACAGAACTTTTACAGAAATTGAATTACTGCTAGATTTTCTTTGTCATTTTTAACTCTTTTGACCATTGGAATCACATCTGCTCTCCAAATTGATTCATTGCGATGTGTTGGTTACGGTCTGAACGATCGATGGTTCGATTCCCGACAAAGAGAGAGAGTTGTCTCTTCATCATCACGTGCAGCCCGGCTATGGGGTCCGCCCAGCCTCCTATCCAATGAGTACAGGGGTAAAGCGGCTGGGGCGTGCAGCTGACCATTAACCTTCATTTATTCCTAGGCTCAGAGTTAGTGGAGCTATTCATCCACTTCCCCATACGTCTTCATGGCATGGTGTTTAGTTAAGCAGAAGACAACTCAGCACTTTGCCAGTGGCTTGGGCACTCCCTGCAGCACAACCGGCGTGAAAATAAGTCGGGGATTAGAGCGACACGCTGCGTGCTTGTTAGCGGCTACACGCTTGCTCAGTGTAATCTGTATTAATCTCTAATTAAATGGGCGTAGTCCCTATTGATGGATTACTCATTGATCAAAGTCCGTCCAGCTATCTGTCTTCATTCATCATTGTACCATCACGCACGTGAGCCCGCAGCCCTCATTCCGCAAGTCTCTTGTTGTGTCCGTCGCGACGCCAGAGGAACGGCAGGATAACTCGAACATGGAACTCGGAGATATAGGACTGCATTCATGTGGCTCTCACGGTAATGAACCTTCGGGTTCCATAAACGTCTTTCAAATTCTTGCCCCCCCCCCACCGTGCAGTTATTAGCTCCTTAAGACGAATGGCTTGGCGTAATAATAACGCTCGAAGTCTATCCCTGTAACAGGCCGTGGAGGCCCATAGGATTGTGAGACCTCGAGGCTCCCACATTTTCTAGACAGTCGGCTCACAGATGGCGGTGAGGTTTTGAGCCTTACGCGCCAGTCGCCCTTTATCCACCAGTAAGATCCCTGGTACTCATTTCTGTTAGAAGCTGAGTCGACCCGAGGGCCATAGTGCGGCTGGAAGGATTAGGTAAATTAAAAAATCCACTGACCTCATTTTGGATCGAACCCGCGACCTTCCGGCTTTTAGCATAGTGCCTCAACCGCGTTAGCCAGTAATGCTCGAGAGATGCTCGAATTGTTTCCTCTATCCTTCCAGGCAAAGGCCAGTTGATATGATTAGGTCAGTTCATCTGTCGTGCCATGTTTCGTTGTTTTGTGCGCTAGTCACTGGCTGCGTCCTGAAGTAACTCAGAAGACAAAGGAAGACTCTACTCCTTGTAGTTGTTCATAATAGCAAGAATTTTAGTATTATTCTTGTGTTAACGGTAAAATCTTAAGTTTCAGTATTTTCCGTGCACCAGGCTTGTTTGTAATGCATTCGTCACAACATGGAACTGATTTCGATGCGCTTGTTTTCATCGGGCGCCCACCTCAACGGCTACAACTTGCTTCTTAGTGCACTAAACAGGGGCGAGTGTACAGCCGCATCTCAAAGCGGGGTAAACGCGCTGTCAGATTGTGCAGCATCGAATTTTAGGATGAGACATGAGTTTAAGGAGCCAGTTCATGGCCTGATGGGCGTACTCTCCCAGCATTTGTCTTAAGGGGCAAAATGAACGTAAACCTCGGCAGGAACATACAACTCTCTATTGACCGTCACAACACAACAAACAGAAAAAATCTTGCTTTTACCGGTTCTCGCGGTCTCTTCGCTTGCAGATTTCTTATATTTTTTCTTCTACCCTGAAGATGGAGGCGATACGTTCCTCCGAAACGTCGGTTAACACCACATATACACGGTGCCAAATCCCAGAAGACTGCTTTCTTCATAGTCACCGCCGTGAAAGCCTCAAATCTTACACAGAAAAAATCAAGCTCAGCGCCCAGCTATGTTTCGCTACATGTTTCAGCCACTAACGGCCATCATCAGGTAAACACATATTAACAAACATATACAACTGAACTGCAGTACATTAGATTGGATACAGTGTTATTACTCATTTAAAATACTTTGTGTAAAAATACAATAAGTCAGATTATATAAAAACTAAAAGTTATTCTATAAAACAAGATAAAATTTATGTTACATAACATCGAATCAGTCGTTGATATTTTACTTTTCATACGTTTCCATGGACAAATTGGAAATTCGATATTTCTTATATATAAGAATGCATAGGAGGCCCACGATGTTGCAAATTAATTGTATAGTCGGTGCCTCATCTTACGAAGAATTGTCCGTACTGTATGGAAAGTAAACAACGAAACATAGCTGGGCGCTGACCTTGATTTTTTCTGTTTGTTGTGTTGTGACGGTCAATAAAGAGTTGTATATTGTAACACAGCAGGATGCACGAAATGAAAATTACTCAGTAAGAATATAAGTCAGCCGGTCACGGTAGCCGAGCGGTCTAAGGCATGCACTGTCTTCGCTCGCTCGGAAGCCGGGATCGTGGGTTCGAATCCCACTCAGGGCATGGATGTTTGTGTGCGTTTTTCTGTGTTTGTGTACAGGTAGAGGCCTTGCGACGAGCTGATCACTCGCCCAAGGAGTCCTACTGAATGTGTAAGATCGAGAAAAACCGAAATGAACGGAGTTCAAGGAGGTAGGCCTAGGCCCACTGGGGCTGTAGTGCCAAGGGGGGTAAAAAAAAGAATATAAGTCGCCCCTGCCGAGACTCGAACCTAGCACTTCTTGAATACGAGTGTGGAGTTTTACCGCTAGGCCAACCTTCTCGGTCGATACTGAGCAGGGGGCAGCGTGTTATCACATCATATTCTTGGGACCCGCACGATAAAATGCGAGACGACGTCCTTGAGGATCTGTTATCAGTGGCGATGGATGTGTCATTACAATAAGGAACCTTCTGATGTGACGATAAGAGGCAACGCGAAGGCAACAACAGGCCGTCGCCTGCGCGCGCCTTAATGGTGACGTCTGCCGGGATCTCCGCTAAGTGGAACAAGGGGAAAAAGGAAAGAAGAGAAGAAATAAAGGACAAGCTGGAAAATGAAGGGACACTAGAAAAGGAGAGGTGTGATTAAAAAGAAACAAGATTGTAAACTTGTACGCTGTAAATTTAACGGATGGGTTTTGCAGAAGGAATCACAAATTGCGCAAGGTTAAGACGAGTTCTTTAAATTTACATGCGACCGTTCATTGTTAGGTTACAACTGCTACCGGTTGGTTGGTGCAGCACGTACCTGTGGTGTACTGCACAAGGTTGCAAGCGACCAGGCCACGGTGAGCATCATCTTGCCACGTTTCGCCACGTTCACCACGTTCGCCATGGGTCTCAAGATGGCGAAACACCTGCACGCAACAAACGCACCCATCAGCCTTAATACGAATATTTACTTACTCAAGGAGCTGAGCCCTTCTTGAGGACCCGCCAATTCTGCAGCTGCTCAAGAACTTCCCAGCATTTATGGAACCCGAAAGTTCGTTACCGTGTTCACAAGAGCCTTCCAATGGTCCCTAGTCTGAGCTAGATCAATCCAATCCATCCCATCCCGTCCTATCTCTCTAAGATCCATTCTAATATTGTCCACCCACCTACGCCTTGGTCTTCTGGCTTTCCCACCAATATCCTATATGCATTCCTCTTTTCCCGCATTCGTGCTACATGCCCTGCCCACCTCATCCTTAATACGAGTATTGCTGTCCTGAATAAGAACTTGTAACTATAAGGTACCCCCATGTGGAGGCGGGTTAGAGCACCTCCATCGTAGCCCTGCGAGTCATAGGAGGCGACGAAAAGGGAACCCAATAGCTGGGGGTAAAACTGGGCCACCCCGTCACTGGGGGACATAAATACAGAAACCTGGTCCCCAGTTTGGGGGTTGGACGCAAGGCTGACGGCCTTGCTGTGTAAAAGAATTATTATTGCGAAACCCAAAGAAGTGAAAAGCGGATGATCTAATTCCCAGGAATGTGCAAGCCTGGCGGTCTTCTAGGGAAGGCTGAAGCTCGGCAAGGGCTGAAAGGCACGTTACAAAGGATGATAGGCCGCCGTATCACTTACCGGTCCAGGCTGATAGAAACAATGACGAAGCTGGACAGATAAAGTCCAAACGTCCTGAAGAAGGACATTATCCTGCATACGGCGTCTCCTGCTCTCCAGGACACGGTGGTGTTCCACGCAATCTCCAGTGGCATCATCAGGAAAGTCACCTGTAACAAGCACTCTCATGGAGGGTCTGGGGTTTGAATCCCGCATTCAGTGTAAGTGTATCCATTGCACCAATTACGTAAAATTAACGAATGCTATGGATTATATACATATATATTTAATTAAAGTTTTGTTTAACGACGCTATTGGTAGCTCAGATTACATAGCGTCGAATGGTAGGTCGACTAATGAATGGTGAATTCGAAGGGATGAGGAAGGAAGCGGTCGTGACGTAATCAGGGAACTGTCTCGTCACTAACCGGCACACGCGGTAGCGTAGTTGGTTGAGGAACTATGTTACAAGCCGGAAGTTCTCGGGTTCGATTCATGATGAGGTCATTGTTCTTTTTTTTAATTAAACTAATTATTCCAGCAGCACTATGTCCCTGGGGTCGACTCAGCCTCTAACAGAAATGAGTACCAGGAGTCTTCCTGGGGGGAGGGCGGCCGGCGCGTGAGGCTGACAACCTCACCGCCATCTTTGAGCCGATTGTCTAGAAAATGTGGGATCCTCGACGTCTCAAAATTCTATGGGCCTCCACGGCCTGTTACAAAGGATAGTTTTACCTTTTGCTTTTTTTACTTTTACTTAGCCATACCTGATTATCGCCGTCAAGTAAGTGTGTCATCATTATGAAGCGTGGCGTTCAAATAAACAAAATTAAGACTTCACGAATGTTTACTTCGGCACTCGATATAGGCCGCTTCCCTTTCGGGTTAACAGTCCCCGGTGGGCCTCAGAGCCGGTCTGGACGCTGTGGAGGAGAGAAACTTCTCTCTTCCCTGCTGGCAATCGATCCCCTATTCCTCCGTCATCCATGCAGTAGCCTAGTCGCTGTACAGACTGAGCTATCCCGGCTCCGTTAAACTGTATGTTTACGATCTCAAGTGGCATTTCAAGATCAATGATTTCTTTGTGGTTGGTATATTCTTCTGCGAGGTGCAGAAAAGAACATTGCGTTAAGAGTGTTGGTGCACTTACCAGGAGGTCTGCAATAGCTAGATGCATGAACATGTAGTTGTTGCCAAAGCGTAGGGACCGGCGCCTCCTCAGGATGTTCACCAGCACCGTGATGTTGCCGACGGCGGACACCGCCATCAGCACGCTGTACGTGATAATGGACATCCGGTGTCCGTCGTTAAACTTCATGTCGTCCGACAGGAACTCGGTTGTCGGCGGCAACCCTGTTGTCGGGGTCGCCATGCTTGGGCCTGCGTGCATCACACCAACAGTAGAAGCATTAGCACAACCACAAGGTTCAGCACCGCTAATACAAAAGCCCGCCTCTGGACACGGTCCCGAGCCAGTTCCATCCACCTGCCATTTCCCTAAGATCCATCTTACTAAGTAACTAACTCTCTGGTAGCAGAACGCGAAGGTTCAGCATCGCTAATACAAAACCCCGCCACTGGACACGATCCCGAGCCAGTTCCATCCACTTCCCACCCTCACAGCCCATTTCCCTGGGATCTATCTGACTAATTAACTAACTCTCTGGTAGCAGAACCCGAAGGTTCAACACCGCTAGTACTAAAGCCCGCCATTGAACACGAACCTGAGCCAGTTCCATCCACTTCCCATCCTCACAACCAATTTCATTTAAATCCATCTACTTCAGCGTCGTTCGGTGGAACAGTTGCTAAGAGACGCTGTGTGCGTCCATTGTTCCCTGGATCCCGCTTCCACGCCAATCCCACATGCAACAGACGACCCATATAAGTTACAAGGGATATCCTAAATTGTTCACATAATTAACATTTCTAAAGACTTCAGTACTTGGGTTTAAGCATTTTTATTCGCTTACAAATGCTTCTGTCTTGCGTGGTCTGGTAATAGTTCACCGTCTTAAGTGAGCATGTAAACAAACGACTCCCTTTTTTATGTCCTCGACTGTGAAAATTGAAACAATACGTTTGCCGAAACGTCGGTACACTTGTACCAGACTGCACGGTATCGTAATCCAGACGATAGCACCCAACATAGACAGCACCATAAGAACTCCAAATTTCACTTCCATGGTCTTTCTCGCAGTAAGAGGCTACATTTTACACGCGTACAAAACCCTGATAGTAGGTCTAGCATCATTTAATTTTCCTCCAGTGGAAGAATGTAAATACGTACGTAACAGCTTCAACAGGTGGCTGTAGCATCTTGCAGCTTCCCTCTTTACTGCAACTCTGCAGTGTATGCTTTTAGCGTATAACACACATACCACATGCAGCAGACACAAGCTTACATTGAATTTGTAGCGTTGGCTATAAGCACCTGGAGGGTTCACTCCATAGAGCGAAAGGCTCGATTTCGGGCTGTCTCGCCATATAAAAAGAAGAAGTGATTATTTATCTCAGAACTTCTCGAAATTCACGAGATTTCTGCGCCTTGAGACCCTTAAACAAGTGTTTAAACTCCATGAGGGTTAAAAGCTATCCCTGTAACAGGCCGTGGAGGCCCATAGGGTTGTGAGACATCGAGGCTCCCACATTTTCTAGACAACTGGTTCACAGATGGCGGTGAGGTTGTCAGCCTTATGCGCCGGCCGCCGTTTACCTCCCAGGAAGATTCCTGGTACTCATTTCTGTTAGATGTTATGTCGACCCCAGGGCCACAGTGCGACTGGAAGGATTAGGTCTACTGAAAAATCCAGTAACTTCATCGGGAATCGAACCAGCGACCTTCCGGCTTGTAGCATATTGCCGCAACGGACTACGCTACCGCGGGTCCCCGCATATAAACATATATTTTACATGAGAGCATATATCATTTGGGGGGGGGGGGTATGTGAATAAACATACAAAAGGATTTCAACTTATCGTAGACAATACTTGAACATGGGTTTCAGCATGTCAGTTATAATTCAGTTTGCTGAATGCGTTTGATTCTTGTGCCCCCTGTACTTCCTCAGTTTTCTTGCTCTTTGTGTTCCTAATTTGGCCTTTTTAATGTAGGTCTATATCCGGCTACGTTTCCGAGCAATTTCATTTCTCTGATCTCCGTGTGTATGTGTGTCGCAATTGATTATCCCGTTGTGCGGACAACTGACAAGAGCCAATTTCATTCTTGTGCAACAGAAACCGTGCGAGCCCTGAGTGACGCGTTCCTGAGGCACGGCAGTCCACACTCTGTGGTTCCCAGTTCTCCTTCAGGGCCCAGCACCCCAACAGTAGAGAGCTTCCCTTTGTGGGTCACCTTAAGGCCCTGTAATTAGCTAGAATATACAGCACTGAATGTCGTGATGATTGGTGATTAATGAACTGGGAAATGTCCAGAAGGAGTCGGTTCTATCTCTGTATGTGCCTTAAGATACGGAGGAAATGAGTACCAGGAATCTTCCTGGGGGTTAAAGGGCGGCCGACGCGTAAGGCTGACAACTTTACCGCCATCTGTGAGCCGATTGTTCTATAAGATGTGGGAACCTCGATGTCTCACAACCCAGTGGGCCTCCACGGCCCCGTTACAGGGTCAGCTTTACCTCACTCCTTATTCACGGATCCTGCCGTTACCCTAATACCTATTTCTACACCGATATTCCAAAACCTTTTATACAGAATGGCTCCCCACTCCAAATCTCTGTTCCTCAACAATTCAGAGAGTTTCTCCTGTCACCATCTTTGCTACACGCGGGGTACATCCCATGTCCACACTTTACCCTGGCCCCTTTAAGGCAGACTACTAAAGCATTCAAATAACAATCGCCCTTATCACCAATGTCACAAATTCAGCCTTCAGGTCCACTCTGCCGGACATTTTGGTACTGCCTTCGTCCCATATCTGTTCCTTGAAATCTCTTCCGGGAATAGAGTCATTCTTGTTGGATTTCAGTTAAAGGTTTGGGGTAAAGGGGCCGGAGCGTGGAGCTGTGGCCACTCAGCTATATCTAATGGCAACTGTTGAGCTGTCTGCAGATCAATCAATCAATCAGTCGACACAGAATGGGTCGCCTCCGTTGAATTCGTCGTGCGCCGAAATAAATGAACGTAATGGTGGAGCATATAGACGCAGAGTTGGGTTTGAGAGTTTGGGATCTGCGAGGCAGCGCGTCCCATGGGACGGCGCTCTCCAAACAGACACAGAAGTTGTCATCTGATTGCGCGTAACAAGTCGCGACCTACCTCGGCCCACTCATTCCAACGCTTGCCTTTCTGCGTCATTACAGGAGGCGTGTTCGTGACGTCACGTGATTGTTATTTCCGTCAATGTATCGTTTAGACGCGTGCAATCGAATTCGCAGGAGTCGGGCTGGCCTCTGCACTATAAACAACAATAACAATAATAACATATGGTTGTGAGACGTCGAGGCCCCCACAGTTTCTAGACCAGTGTTTCTCAACCGCCGGGTCCTCGTCTTATAGAAAAAAGAATTTACCGGGCCGCGGTAGCGTAGTTGGTTGAGGCACTATACTACAAGCCGCAAGGTCGCGGGATCGAATCCCGATGAGGTAGATTTTCTTCAATCGACCTAATCCTTTCAGCAGCACTATGGCCCTGGGGTCGACTCAATACCAGCATGAAAGGAGGTGACAAGTTGATTGGATTGGAGGACAATATTAAAATGGAACTTTAGGAAATATAAATTGGAAGCCGTTGGCTGGTCTCTCTCTCTGGTTAGTGATCAGTAACGCGTTTTTGTGAACACGGTAATGAACCTTTGTATTCCATAAAATGCTGACGTTTCTTGACTCTCTGAGCAAATATTAGGTTCTAAAGAAGGATTTTGCTTAGTAAGTTCAACAGTTCGGTCTGTTTGGCGCTGAGCGATAAGATGATTCGTGAATACTGAATTGTAATGGATCTGGAAGGAAGCGGAGGTAACCTAATTTAAAATACTATCTCGGAATTTTCTTGGAGAGACTGAGGGAAACCATGCAACTCAGTCACTACAACCGGTGTTCGGACCGAGATTTGAAGCCGGGACTTCCCATAAACGAAGCAGGATTCCTGTAAACTTGACCCTGACGTCTGGTTCATCGTCTTTAACAGGAAACGGATGGTGCATTTAGAGACTTGCAGACAGACAGACATGCCTGTCGTCCTGACCCGGTACAAGTGTGTCTCTGTTGCGTGGCATCGGACAGTGGAACCGCTTGTTTTCGCTGTCCAGAATTAGCCGAGGCAGATGGCAGCGCGGCTGATAGAACCACAGCGTCCCCGGAACCCTAAATAGTACGCCGAACTTCCGCCTCGTGTTCTGGAACTGCCAAGTTAGCACATCGCTCCGGAAGCCGGCAAGCACAGCCTTGTTAGCTACTTGCTTCTTGCTCTTGTGGCGTAGTAGACCCGTCGCTAGGCAGGGACCTCGAAACAAACAATTAGTATTAGCCGTTGCTATGCAATAAACGAATAAACAAACGGCTGATTCTGAGCAACGGTTCGGTAAATACGTTCCCGCGGAAACGAACACGCACACAACTGTAGAAGAACGGTGTTTATTATGTGATCCGTGCCGAGGGGATAGGAAGAAGACAACTGGGGCACTGCAGTTCAGTTGAGCTCTTCAAGCGAGGCTGAGAAGAGCTGACGGTATAGTTGAAAAGAGTTCTGCACGGGATGCTAAGATAGGACCTGAGCGCTGGAAGCTGAAGGATTTCCACTGTTAGAAACCGTTGCTAGGACAACGGCTGTTGGAGACACAGCAGGCTGGAAAAAGGCGTTGCGGGTGCTGTGGTGATTTGTAAAACGTGGAAATTAGCGACAGCGCTGTAATTACTTGTAGTTCCGAGTGATGTGTATGAGTGGTCAATAAATCAGATATCCAAGCCATACCCCGTCTATAGTCACACACATAATAGGTGACAATATAATTTCTTTCTTCGCTTACCCTTTGACCTGAAGATGGAGGCAGCACATTTCCCCTTAAAATTCGGTAAACTTTTACGAGACTACACGGCGTCACATCCCGGAAGATATTCTTCACACCAAAGTTTGGCTATTAAATACGAGTATATTGTTGGTCACTTAATGGCGCTGTTATTGTTGAGATGGCATCGGATGTCACGGTGATTAGTGAAATAGACATAAAAAGGTTTTTGAGGGAAGTGGTCGTGACCTAATCGAGGTACTGTTGTCGCATTTGCCTGGACAGACTTAAAGAAACCACGAAAAACCGTCAGTGTGTCTCAGCATAGATTCGATCCGAGAACCTCCAGGTCTAGCGTGTTACATCTGCAACAACCTATTCGGTATCAAGTACAGTAAATTGAACAGAAAATGGTCG